TGGAAACTGGAGCAACACACACAAAGTGTATACGAGACGCTAGAGTGGCTGGGCTGAGTGCTTTACAGTTGAGTGCAGGAGTTTTTTAGGCTTTGCAATGTGGGCTGGGCTATGTTGGCCTCCATTGGCCTTTTCCGTCTTATATGGCTTGATGGGAGTTTCAATATCCTGTTTCCATATATGTGTCTCTGTTTTATACTTTTTACATTTGGTCAAGAACGTTGCAAACAAGAAACGTACTGCGGAGCGAAACGTCGAGTTGAAGCACTTCGATTCTTTGTCACTTTAACGTATGCTGACGCCGTGTGCGCGGTGAAAATCCATCTCGGTACACTATGAACTGTACTGGTGTGGAGATTTTGCGCTGGAAGCAATCGAGATAGTATCTTGTGTGGCCACAGTCGGAATTATGATAACAAGGGAATAAGTAGAAGTAAATACAACTTACCTCCCACGTTTGTATTCTCCCTATATCATATGAATCGATAATCGAAAATTTAGAATTTTGTGCATTCGAAGTAGGAATCATCCACATCACCTTTACGCGCGCAACAATTTCCTGATAACGGTGAGACATCACTTTGACACCTTAAACATAATGTGAAAATGTGAACACTTGACATGTCACATTTCACATGGATATTTACATGGAATGATGGATTCTAGACACAACAACAAACCTGAGAATGATGAGGAATTATCTGGTAATATGAAAAATATGCGAAGTACACAAACTAGACATCTGCTTTTACCCAAATGTTAATTTGAATTACAAAACCTAAACACAAGTTTTATGTGATATACATGATATGGGAAATGTTAAATCGACCCATCTCTTTACTAAATCGACCCATCACCGTGAATAGCTGCCAAGTTAGTGTCTTCAAACAGATGTACCATGTAAATCTCAGCAGCTTCTTGAAGAGATTGTATAGCAGAAGTTTGAAATCTAAACCGACACACCCAGGATGTCGAAAGTGATTTCACGTACGCTCAATTGGAGCTTTCTTGATGAGCAGATAACATTAAATTTAAGAGTAAGTTTGTTATGTTACCGTTAAATCGACCGGCGACGTGTCAAAAAAAAACAAAATCTCGTGATGGGTCTATTTAGTAAAGAGATGGGTCGATTTAACATTTCCCTATTTTATTCATGTCTTATACATATTCTACATGTAACAAATTTTCTAGTTTATAGAGAAAGCTAATGAAGATATTGATATATTTTCACATATAATATACAAAGATTTTAACAATATTTTGGTGAATTTTTAAATTACAAATTTACATCATGCTATTATGATCAGGTTAATAAATGGAATATAACATTTTCGAAAAAACTTTCTATAAAAAAATTCGGATTTTTAAATATTACTTTAAAGACATTTAGACTATACTTATTTATTGAAATATTTGCATATCTTAAATTTATCATGTCAAATGCAGTAAGGCTTTCAAACACAACCGTACAATAGTAAGCACATAGAAGTATGTAATTAATCTGTCAATGATCATAAGCGCCCAAAAAGAAAAATCTATCGTTCAAAATATACTATTTCACAAAAAAAAAGCTTCCGAAATTTTTTTATATTTTGTTAAACGTAGTCAAATAAATCATAATTAAATAAATTTTGGAATTATTAGCAAATCCAAATTTTACTCATATAATTTTCTTTTGATTCATGTCTTGAAAACATTTAATTACATAATTTATGATTTTGATATAAGTGCAACGTAAGAAATGAACCTAGTATAAATGACTCTCAAAATTATAATTAAAAATTAAATAAAATATAATTCATATAGAAATATAAAATAATTGCTAATTTACTTTATTTCTACTAATATGCATGAAATCAAATCAAATAATCATGTTTGATCAATAAAAAAAAAGAAGCAATATAGTAGTATGATACAATCCAAATTATCAAGAATAAAGCTAGGTATGAATGATTTTTTCATATTTTTTATACAAGCTAGATTAGACGCAATGTTGAAGTATGTTGATAGTCAAAAGATCAATATATTGGTTGGCACACTCATTGATTGATTGCAGTACAAAGGTTATTGAGAAAACTTTTGAGTTCCACAATGAGCATAATATGAAAATGTAAAGTGAAAGTTCACATAACATAAGTGAAAATTGATGTGATGATTGTTACTGTCTTAGATATGTAAAGCCAGGCTTCAAAGATTGAAATAAAAATCAATAATTATGACATTTTGAATATATTGGTAGATAAAGATTTATTTTCAATACAATTTTCAATAAGTTGAATTATTGAAATTTGAAAACATTCTTTTTAAACCTTCTATTACAATTTTTGATAAAGTCCAAAAAACAACCATTGAAAATATTAGACAAAGTTGTGATGAGTGTCGAACTAGTGTTAAACTTATAGTATTTCCAAGTATTTGGAATAACAAGTTTCAGTATATTATTGAAATATTGTCAATTGGGATTGATAAAAATTATTAATCAGTAGCGCAGATCAAAGAATCATCAAATGGAGGTTCTATTCACAAGAGTATAAGATGCAAAAACTTGAATAAAATAGATCAACAAGTAAGTATTAAAATGTGAGATTATGGAAAGTAATATTTTTTTTATTGTTGATATTTCCATTTTATCTTTCAATCAAAATATATTAATTTTTTATATCTTGATTGAAAATTTTCAAGTTCAAGTTTTTTATGCAATTAAGTTATTTTCTAGATTGAAGTTGATGAAAGTTTTGACAAGATGAGTATGAACAAATAATAATGTTTTTAACAGATGTGTACTTCTAATTTTGGCTTGAATGTTATCAAGGAGAAAAAGAACATTTTTTAGATATATTGTGCAAATACATATAGAGGAATTTGTTATTTTCTAAAAGTAATCTACGAGTATGCATGGATTACACAAAAGTGAATGTTATCACAAAATTTTGGTTATATCTTTTATATTCATAGATGATATTTTAGAAAAATTAGCGGATCGTTAATTATAAAGTTTTGAAGATGATTATAATGAACATAATCAAATCCAAACGCTTTTTAAACATCAACTTCAATTATTTTTATCACATAATGGAAATTTTTTTGTCTCTACAATTATATCACTTGATCTAAGTAATGCTTTCATCAATTTACGTGAATACTATGTTTGAAATATCATTGCAAAATTTTGTAAATATTTTTTGTGTGAAAAAGAGTAAAGATAATCATTTGATTAAACAAATATGCTATTTAAAAAATGCTAAAGTTTTATTCAATTTTTTATAATGAATTTTGCAAGTAAAACTTTTTTTTTTTGGAACATTGCCCAACAAGGTTTAACGTTGAATAGAAAAAATGTGTAACAAATCATTAAGTTATCATTTTCAATTAAGTTGATCAAGTTGAAGTAATTTTTGTCTATGATAAAAAACTAGAGATGATTCATTTATTTTTTCTCCAACAAACAATCTAGACTAGTCAGTTTTGATTAGTCTTCTTTTGACAAAACCGAATTGGAACAAATCTGCTAAGATCATCAATTGATTATGCTAGTAGATTGATAGAGCAGAAATAATATAAATTTTTTTAATGATGATATAATTTTTAAATATATTTTTAATAAGTCTAATGTTAAAAAAAATAAAAGTCTAATGTATCTTGATACTAGTTCACATTGATTATGCATTTGAGAATTTTCATGACAAAAAACATGTTTGTGATGATTTGATATTTTGAGCTTGAAGTAGAAAGAACTATCAATTAGTAAATGATTTTTTTTGTATGAAATTTTGCTTGTCATAAATATTGTGGTAATAATATTGAAACAGTGAAAAAAATTTGAAAATTCATATCTTAGGACATGCATTCAAGAAAAAACCATTCAGTGAATAAAGTATATCAACCAAGTGTAATTATGATTAATATATAATTCCATCAAGGAGCTAATAAATGTTTACAAAGAATAGTTGAAACAAGTAATCACTAGAATTCATGCTTAACAAAAATTTGATATGTGAAAATATTTTGCTAAAAGATATAACTGTTTCAAACATTTTCGTGCTGATTGTAAAATTTCTGCAAAAATGAATGATATATGTTAACATTTTGCAAATAAAATAATTAATATTACTCATTTGCTATCATTTTATATTCTAGGTCATTTTGAAAATTGTAAAATAAACTTTGTAGATCCTTTAGACTTATTCACTGTGTGTGTTGCGTACATAAAATTCGTCAACTTGTATTCGTGTCAAGCTTACTTACAGGTCATTTTGGTTCTTTATATCTTGTGTTAACTAAAAGGAAAGAAACTAAAAACAAACCTTGAAAAGGGTGAGTGCATGAAAAGCTCACACAATAAGGAGTGGATGTCTGCGTATTGTGGAGGCCGATGTAGTCAAAGGATGAACAATGAGGATGAACCATAAAACCTAAACCCTATTCTTAAAAACAGCATATAATCCTTTCACTCCCATAGACTTCAAAATATCATGGATATACCACCTTCGACCCAACTCACGATGCTATCGAGATGATGCTTATGCCAATCACATCTCAAGAGAGTGAGTGCCAGAATAATCAGCATATTTAATAAACGGCGAACATTTACAAATCACAATCATCCCCGGGTTCGTTAAGCAGATGCTTGATGTTTGTACATCCCATAGGTGTTTTCAAATATCTCTACTTATATCTACTGAAGTGCTCTCATCATACATTTTTGTGGCAGAACCTGGGCAACAAAGTTTACGGTGATACACAAGCCGACACACACAAGGAAGAGGACAGACAATCAATTGATACATACCAGAAATGGGGTCGTCTTGTTGGTGACAGAGATCGTCTACATTGTGTAAGGGCAGGTAGTGGGGGATGAAGACCATGCCATGTCAAAATTCCATGAAAATAAATAACGGTCTGACCTGGTCGTGCTATGAAGATTTCATGCCCACTCAAGAAAGTAAGGGTAATAGCAGCAGAAGCTGCAAATGCACAGACAGACTTCACCTTTTGAAAGCAGAGACTCAAAAATGAGCTTCCCAGTGGGATTTAACTAAGACCCTCGTCGGGGGAAAAAGGGGGCATGATAGAAAGAACAAAATTTGTCATCCACTCGCAGGTTTCCTGCACAGTACTCAAAAAAGGACATCGGTCAATTGTAGCCCAACAATATATATATAAACTACCTACAACTAAGCGGGGGGATGGGCGAATCATATCGGGGTTCTTAAGCATTGAGCTTCGGTACGCTAAGCTTGCAAGTGGTCAATGATATACTCTAGTGCAGACACAAGACAGTGTCACAATTCAGTGGGGGCGAGCTTTCCCAGACGAAGGAAACTGAATTCCCCTTGACCCAAGCCAGTGCACGAAAATTTACTAGACATCAATCCTATGTCTGTAGGATCTGCGATTCTACTTCTGGGAGCAGATATATGAGTATACATCAAATCCTACTCACGCTTTGATTTGCAGCTAAAAAGGGATTTCTCACTGGACCATTCAAATTGTAATATCCACATGGTCTTCTAAATTAGAAGTCGGAAAAATGTATTCATACAGCTACAGCTCGTCCCAAAACTCCCTCAACTTGCTTACTGGGTGCCATCATCTGAGATGGTCTCTTCTGATGAGGCATCATCTTCATTGTCTGCATCTTTGCCTCGTTTGCCGCGTATCCCAGGGTCGGATACAGTTTTGCTGGAAGAAGAATCATCACCATCATCAGCATCAACATTGACCTTCGGGAGTTGCTTCTGCCTGCTGTCACTCTTAGGTTGAGGGTTTTCGTTCAGCAGCCATTGAGGAAGCTGAGATTTCTTCTCCGAATCAGAAACATTTCCCTCAGCAATTCTAGAGGCAGATTGAGAAAAAGCTTCTGAAAAATTGGCTCCTTGATTGTTTCTGCTAAACTGACGTGACGTTGAAGGGGCACTCGTTGGTAAAGACGCGCTCTGCAAGTCAGTTCGTTTCCAAGGCAGATCCGCTTCAGGAGGACGAAAGTCAAATGGCGGTCGTCTTCCTTGTCCTAAGGACCCTAAATTTGTCTCCTCAAGAGAAGGATTCCTGCTACTGTTCAGAGTTGATGCCAACATGGGGTCACTGTGTCCAGACATGAATCCGAGCTCTATCAAGCTTCTACGAGCCATCATTTCTGAAATCGAACCTGCAGGAGGGGGTTGTACTTGCTGAGAATGATCGAAACTTGGTATCAAAGGAAAATCGAAGCCTTTCGTCCGCGATAGAGTACTCATCTGCCCAAGAGTTGGCAGAGATCTGGAGAGCAATCCACTGATTACTTCTGCCGATTGAGGAAGGAGTGATGGATTGAGGCCTTCAAGCTTAATAGACCGCGTAAGATCGATAATCGATTGATTTGGTGCAGCAACAAGTGGATTCCCAGTGACTTGGGGATTCACCTTAGGCCTACGACGTCTCCTTTCAGCTTTCTTAGGAGGTTCCCGTGGTGGTACAAGAGGATACCCCGGATGCACCAGAGGAGGGAGCAGTCGCTTAGATCCCTTGTACAGCATGCTTGTAGCCTGCACTACTGCTGCAATTGCTTGTGGAAGAGGGGGCTGGGGGGGAGCAGACCTTGCCTTGACAGCTTCTCTCAACCAGTGAGGTAAATTACTTGAAGCCGACTCATCCTTTGGAGGAGCCGGTCTGGCCCTCCTCCTCTGGTCCGCAGTGGACAAACCTCCTCCATTGTGTGGAAGAGAAACCAAAGCCCGGTTGCCCAAAGATTGTCCTGTTGGTGATCCCAAAACAGGACTAGGAGCGGGAGGAAACGGGGCCGATGGGTGAGAATCATGTGACTTAAAAACATTGCTCTCCGAGAAGTGAGGGTGATGTTTGAGACTTTCTACACCAGAGAAGTTTGGTGATTGTTGCAAAGGTCCCCGTTCTTTGGACCTACTGTCGTTTCTCCTCCAATCCGGACCGAGGGCTAGTCCTGGGCTCAATGAGGGAGCAGATTCCGCACCAACATGGTCCAGATGCCCACTTGACTTCAAGATACCACTGCTTTCCAGCCTACTCAATGCCTGCGACGGGACAAAGGAGCCTACTAAATTCACTCCCAAGGCAGTTCCAGGCAACGAGCTGTTCCTCGAGGACATGCCAGGCTGAAGCACGGGAGATGATCGTCCAGGTTGCAAGTCGAGCAGATTGTGATAGTTGATCGATGGTCTACTGCCTCCAAGCTCCCCAATTTTATCAACGAGATCCAAGCTGGGTGGTGTGGAAAGATTTCCAGATGTAGATGAACCAAAGTATGGCAATCTTTCTTTCTCTGGCTTGACATCTAAATCAGGAAGACTCCACGGCATTCCGTCTCTCCTCTCGTGAGGGCCAGCCAGACCAATATCTGAAGTACAACTCGGTGCCAAAGGTATACTAGATTGGAGATGCCTTCCTCGTTCAGCCCCGCTCATATGCTGCAAAAGGTGTTCTGATCCCCCTTCAACATTGGACAATTTGTTCGTACCTCCCCAGCGGATTGCAGGTTGCTTCATAACTTCAGACACCTGTTCTGGTTTTGCAAACATTTTCATTTCTTCTTCTTTCCAACGCTCTGACAGCTCACCTACAGATCTAGATTTCAAGAAGCATAATTTAGAGTCGATAAGCATAGCAGCCCAATTGCCTCGCCCATGCCTCCGGACTCCAGACCACAGAGCATCCAATTCTTCATCAGTCCAGGTTCTGTCGATTTCTTCTTTGTGCTTCCTTTGCTCTTCTATGTGCCATCCTCTTCCTGATCCATCAATCTTCGCTGGACTTAAGAAACCTCTCGTACTTACAGTTGGCTGAGAATCTTGATCATCATCCAGCTCAATAGGCATAGTTTCCACTCTGCCCAAGTCATTCAAATCTACCCCGACAGTAGATATCAAAGATACAGCTGAGGAAGACGCAGCAGATACCTGCACTCGCATATCCAGGAAGTTTCTGGCATCAATAGCCGGACTCGCTTCTTTCGAATGTTCATGACTACCACTCATCAAACCTCCGAGGCCCAGAGCTATTGACAAATTGGGACTCCTTGAATCATGTGTTGATGGCTGAGAAGAGGATCCTGGTAAAGCTGAACTGTACTCGGACCTCTGACTCTTCAGAGAAGAACTAGGATCCACAGGGAGAAGAGACGAGAGTTGTAAAGGACCCTGCTTGATTCCCTGGCAAGTTGAAGCTTCTCCTCCTGTCGACTGTCGAGTCGAACACAAAGGAAATATAAACACCAGTAAGCATCGAGCATTGAAACGAAGTATCAATTGAAGGTCTACCTCATGTCCTCTAATACTCAAAGAATACAAGAACCCCAAGTTGTTCACTCTTTTCAGCAAGATTCTTTGGTCCTTTGCTCGTCACATGATAGAACTTCAAGAGGATGGTTTAAGGAGATAATTACCGTAACACCCGAGTTGAGAGCTTTCTCAGTGCCGAAAATCTTTTGAGAAAACTCAAGAGCAACGTCTGGAGGTTTAGATTTGTACTGATGACCAGAATATGATTTCATTTCCTCAAAGGAGAATGTAGTCTTAGCACCATTTGCGGTTCGCAGACCTGATGAAGAACTCAATCCACCATCTTGCTGGAAAGGTACTTCCAGAGGACCTGGTGTCGATCCTCTAGAATCGATCTGCGATGGAGGTGATTGTCGTGATGAATTGCTTTGATGCACTCCCTGCAGACTTTGTCGAAAATCCGGTAGCAGGTGGCTCAAATGACCCCCATTTGTTCCTTGTGACAGAGTTGCTAGCGTCACTCCAGATGCATTCTCTGTTCGAACTTCATCACCCACACATGCTGGCCTCCCAAAAATTTGCGTCATAACAGAGGTACTACTAGGCTCTGACCCTAAACCTCCAAGCCACCTAGGATGTCCAAGATTATGACCCGGTAGTTTTGAACTTGACGCACCTTCATCATTTGATGTGCCAGTCGCTGGATGATGCTGCTGAGGATACGATGGTTTACTACTTGAGTACCAATCGACATTGATGGCCGGGGCGGTAGGTGAACTTGAATTCCTTACAGACTGTATGTCAGTTACAGCATGCGATACAACAGAGGATGCAGTTGCCTTGCTTAAAGCCTGTGAGAAAGGGTCTGATGCTATATTCAAAAATGGCAAGCCAGGCTGCGGTGGCCACGGTGGAGCAGGGGATTCTGGCAGTAGTTCTAGTTTCTTCAAAACACCCAAACCATCGGTAGGGATTCCAGTCAAAGTCACCAACCGTTCCCCTTCTGCTATACCAGCAGCCCCATTGTACCTCTGCTGAATACGATCTTTTTGCCTTGCTCGAAGCCTTTGCCTGTAGAGTCAAGCAATAAATTACTTGGTAACATAAATTGGAGCAAAGAACCAATTTCAAGTCATTATGCGAACTCCAACTTGTCCCTCTTTGTCCAGGCTACCGTATTCAAAGCAGTAAGCTTCCATCAAGCTATAACTAACACGTTTTTTATAGTCGAAAAGCCTAAGCTTGTAGAACTGATGGGGTTGCTACATCTAAATATGAGAATTTGGATAGTGAGTAAGGAGAACAAGTGAATAAATGGCATTCGAGGTCCACGAAAGCAGGACGTGGCCAAGAGAACAAAGAAAAGAGCGGCACACAGCAGTTACAAGCAAGTCTACATAAGAATAGAAACTTTACAAACAGCGTTTTAATCAGAAATGTTCTTGATGACTTACAGTTTTTGCTTAAAAGCCCGACCTACTGGAGTGTAATCTGGTTCAGGGTCGTCCTCCCTCTCAGCATCTGATGACTGTCAAGAGAATTCCACATATAAATTCTTCAGATACATCTCTCCCAAATTTGTCCTTGAAACTCATCTCTAGTTTGAGCTGAAGGAAAATTCACTCTGATATATCTTGAATTTGTCAGTATATATCACCCTAGGAATAACCCTATAGTTTCTTCTGAGATCAAAAGGCGTAGTTCACATATAAATGACGTACATTTGACGTATCAGAAAATGTACTTCTATGAAAATAAAGCACTCTTCGAAGTAGAATGTCGAAAAGATCAGGCTTTTGTCAGTTCATGAAAGTTCAAATGCAATTCTTATGCAGTAGTAGTCATGAGGTCATGCCTCGACAGACAAGGAAAATACCTCACTCGACGGTTCTTTCGGTTTCTCTCCATTTGATTCAATGTATGATACAGCTTTACGAAGGCGTTTACCACGGCCCAGAGCAGCTTCCTCTTCAGCTTGCATGGTTTCCCATCTGCGATATTCTCAAAAATGATTGTTCGATCACGGTGAGCACACAACAAGGACATACTGCTCGTGACAGTTTGAAGATTATGGCATGTCCAGACCCAAAAACTAATTGAACATCTTCTAGTAAACATGGAAGTAAAGAAGTAGCTAAATCACAATACACAGGAATACAATGATATGCGACCTTTCAGAGGCTTACGAGCTCATGGTTATAATTTACCATCTTCAGAATACTTCCTATTCCGATATATGAAAGAAATGAAGGACTTCACAATACTCCTCACAACCAACAAGATCAATTTCAGAAAAAAGTAGAAATGTCATTACACCAACAAAGCGCACCTTGATTTCAGGAGCTTGTCCCACTGATTTTCCTCTTCCGCAAGAGGAGATTTCATAATCCCCAGATCAGTATCTTTTCCATTAGGATCGTCTTTTTCGTGCTCTTCAGGAATTACATCTTGATCGTTCCAATCCCAAGCCTGACGGTAAAGGAAGAGATATATATACTTCAGTAAAAACACAGCAATTGATCACCTCAGGCATTTTGGAGGCATCTTCACAAGAATAAATAACGCTGTTTCATAATTCCACACGACACATCAGAAGCTAAATATATCGTGAACGTTGAGACATTACATAGGCAGTGACCAGATGACCAGTGACACTAACCTAGCAAAGTGACGGATCAATGAGGCAGAAAAGAAGGATAATGTTAACTTTGATCGGTGAGATCATAGAGTATTGAGTGTCCCAATCTTGAAACCCAATCAGCTCTATACACACGATTCAAATTTTCAAGTCTTATTTCAAAAAAAACAATAAGCATCTCCGAATCTCACAAGCATTTAACATACTCGGACATCGATTAAAATTAATCACATCGACAGCACTGACTGGTTCTAGAACAATCGACTCGCTCTCGACGACTAAAGACAAGAATGAAAGAAAGAAGAGCTGCATTAGTTTGCACATTTCATACTTGAGGAAGGGAAAGGGATAGGAATACATGCCTTCAACGAGCCAAGCAGATCACTTTCATGTTCTCCTTCACTGACATCTGGATGGCGAGTACTAATTTCTGATCGATCAAGAAGGCGGGTTACGGCCGCATCGTCCCACTCAAGTTTGGAGCGGCCCAGCTTTTGATAGTAATCATCGTAAACATCTCCAAGACCCCCACTCTTCTTCTTAAGCCTTGTCTCTCCATCGTCTACCCCTTCGACATCGCCTGAATGAGTCATGTGTGGAACACAGGACGTCTCCTCCACCGGAGTTGACGATTCCTGGAACAGTTCTTCTGTACCCCATCGAATTATGTCCTGTACCTCCTTCTGAGATCCGGACTTGTTTGCAAACAAATGATCCAGCATCAGTTTCTTTTTCGCAAGTTGTAAAATGCGCTCCTCTACGCTTGATCGAACCACAAGTCTGTACACCAGCAGTGTCTTCGACTGACCTATCCGGTGAGCCCTATTCATCGCCTGGATATCGGCTTGTGGGTTGAAATCAGAATCATATATGATTACAGTATCTGCGGTAGCCAAGTTGATTCCGAGACCGCATGACCGAGTAGAGAGCAAGAAAACAAATCGAGAAGTATCTTGGTTGAAGCGAGCAATAGCTGTTTGTCGCTCAGCTACAGATACAGATCCATCAACACGCTCAAACGCTTCACTTCCAAACTGGTAAGTAAGGTAATCTTCCAAGATATCGAGAAGCTTGGTCATCTGCGAAAATATAAGGACCCGATGTCCATCAGCTTTTAGCTTGCCCAGCATTGAATGTAAAAGCATCAACTTTGCAGAGGCCTTTATTCTCATCTCCTGCAAAAATTCCGCTGTACCTGTCTCTGGCTCGGTACCCGGAATCAAATAAGGATGGTTACAGACTTTCCTGAGCTGCATCACAATATTCAGCATGGACTGTTGCTTTGCTCCATTCCGTAGCAACAAGTAATTCTTGGTCAGAAGAGCTTTGTAATACTCTGACTGCACAGAATTCATCTCCACTGGGACAACAAGCTCCGTTTTGGGAGGAATCTTCTGCATGGAATCTTTCTTGAGACGACGAAGCATGTTAGGAGCAACTAGCTTCTTGAGTTCTTCCACTTGCTCAGCAGTGCTCAATCCACTGAACTTCTCCTCGAAGGCAGCCAGAGATGGAAATGTATCGGGCTGTAAAAAGTTCAGTAGATTGAACATCTCTGAGAAGTTGTTTTGCAAAGGCGTACCCGTTAGAAGTACTCTGTGAGAAAACGAAAACGTATTGAGAAGAGTAAAGAGTTTACTCCCAGAATTCTTCAGTCTATGGCCTTCATCGACAACTAAGACTTCCCAGGGAATCGCTCGCAACTGACTTGAGTCTTGTATCACCATCTCGTAGGTAGTCAGCATCACGTTAAACTTATATACTTGTTTCAGCTTCTTCCCAGACCCGTCCGGGGCGATGGCATGCCACTCATGCTCACGTATGATTGTTCTTGCCTTGGCACTACCATGATACTCTATTACATTCAGAGATGGAGCCCACAAGGAAAACTCAGCCAGCCAGTTTGGCATGGTGGATAGTGGAACTAGAACTAGACATGGTGCCTTTACTTTGAACTCATGGTGAACCGCGGCCAAGAACGAAGAAGCTGATATAGTCTTCCCGAGGCCCATCTCATCAGCCAGAATAACATTGCGTTGCCGATGCCAACACTTCCGTAACCAATTCAACGCTTCCAATTGATGAGGAAAAAGCGACCCTCCCTTCAAATAGGCTGGCTGCTCAACAAGTGCCTCGATTTCAGGTGGGCGCTGCGTCTTAAGATCTGACAGATCGGGACTACTTGCATCTATCGCAGAAGTATTTGTGCAGCTTTCTTGTGCTGCCTTTTCAAAGCCGTCATAAGCTTGCACAAGCTCCTCACTCTTCTTTACGACAGGCTCGCTTGTGAGCTCCCACGTACAATCCTCGTACGACAATCCGCACCACTTCACAAAGACTTCGTTCACACTTCCCTTTCCCACTCTTTTAGCAACAATTCGCTGAGGATGGTGCCATTGTTCCTCCGTAAGCACATGAAGAGCATTACCGTACTTGACCTTGTAATTGTCCAGTTTCCGTTTGGCTATTTTCCGCAGACGCTCTTCACTGACCCACTCGTTATGTATGTGGGCCTTGCCATTCCACTTAACTAGGAACTCTCGATCAGATTGTTTCATAGCTGAGTCCACTGCTGCGGAGGGACTCTGAGCCCCTCCTCGTGACGATTCAGCAACAGGATCATCCGTATCCACCAGGGCAGTTCTCGCTTCCGAAGGTGCAGATCTATCAGTCCCTGTAGAGCTCTTTGTGCTGCAGGCTGGCTCCAAGGACAAGGATGGTACAGCAATATCCAGCCCATCACCTTCGGAGCTCAACGAATTCTCTGGACCTTTGGATTCACCGGATGAAAGGTTTTCCTTAGCTATAAGATGAGTATCGACTGAATTTCCATCGGATTTCTCAGGAGCAAAGAGAACTGGTAGAAGTTTGCCCTCTTCATCCTCATCTTCTTTAACTGTCGATGCTTCTGATCCACTACCGTCAACCTGCTCTTCCATCTTTGGACAAACTTCCTGAGGTGTACAAGAAGTATTGGTAGCATCAGTCTCTGATCCAACATCCTTTTCTTCCAAAAATTCCTTCTCTGCTGGCGAAGAAGCTTCATTTGAGACTCCCTTCTCTAAATCAATCTCCAGCTTGCCCGCTGTAGATAGTTCAGCAGCTGATCTATCACAAGTTGTGTCTGCCGAGACTCCAAGTCTACCCTTCTCATTAGAACAACTACCCTGTGCTCCAACTCCAGGAAGAGACAGAGGTGTCGTGCTCGCATCATCCGATTCGACTTTTTCTTGCAAATTCCGTTCACCTTCAGCATCTTCTACCTTGCAGATTGGTAACCTGATCTCAATATCGTGTCTCTCTTCTGACTTCCTCCATAATATCGAGCCGTTCTCACCCGGTGCTAGTCGTTCTGACTTATCGGAGGCATGAGACTCACTGTGCTCTACCTTGTTCGAAGTTGTAGCTTGACTCAAGCGGCAACCTAGAATTCGTTCGACCTGTACTTGGCCACAAGCGCTTCAGTTGAACACTCTAAATACACTGGACTGAATATACACAATCAAGCTACATTCAAGATGTAGATCTGGAGAATAAGAATAGACAAGCTTTCTTTAAGTTTTAAATTCATAATTTGTTTGCAAAACGACCAATGAGCTTCAAGTGTCCAACGTCAAAAAAGGCATCTTTAAAAAGTTCCCAATTCTTAGCACCGACTCTGAGGCTGGAAATTATGTGAACAAAATTATGTAGACCCTGACAACAAAGGGTTGGAGACCAAGACTTTAAACATGGACGTATTCGTACATGTAATCTCGCGTTCTCAGATAGGGTAAACGAGTTCAAAGTTTCGTATAATGTGGAACTTGCCTCTAACGTAACAGGTGACGCTACCACTGGCTCCGGAGAACCTCCTTCACGTTCTTCAACCTTTGTCTCCTTCTCCTTCACAACCTTCACTGCTTTCACTGCTTTCGCGGCCTTTGCCGCTTCCCGAGCCTCCCGTACTTCCCTCGTCTCTTTGCCCTCTTTGATCTCCTTTGAAGGTCCACACTTTGGACAAGACCAAGCTCCCTTTGGTGCTCTCTGAAAGAAAAAAATCCCATCAAAATTGGGAGCTAAGAGTCCATCAACATCGGAAACTTACAAAAGTAACGTGGGAAGACTTACAATGTAAAAACACATAAAATTATGAGACTTTCTGTTAATTTCATCGATACAAAAGCTATCATGCTGGAGTCCGAGTAAATTCAGGTTGACTCTCTACCTAAATGCTGTAGACGATATACATTGGTAATCTGGTTTATTCTTTAACGGCAAAACAAACAATGAAAATCACCTCGGAGATTTCACTCACTTTTCTCGGTGGGCTAAGACAGTCTTTGTGATACCCTCTTGGACAAACATCACAGAGGATCACAAACCCATCTTGCTGACAGATGTCACACTTCCCTGGTTTCTGCAACCAACGATTGAAGGTAAATTCCTCTCCTCGCCGTTCCTAGAGATCAACTTGATCTTCAATGCAAAAACATCAAATTGACATTGAATCAAAACTGCGCCAAAGGCCACTCAGAAACGTCATGTTCCTCTTATTATATCCTCATAGACTATCTGATCTGAAAATACGAGTACCGAGAACACAGAGGTCAAAAATTCCAACGAAGAGCCCTGAAGTACACAAAGCTAAAGGGTCTTTCTGAGGGTTAAAAAACGCTTAGGAGCAAATCAACTTCTACTTATGGACAACGAGAGGAAAGAAAGGAGAGCGCAGTTCAGACATTGAAGCCTGTCCATACTTTTTATAGTGTTGATGAACCGAAATACTATATTTCACTTTTTATAGTCTTGATCACTTAAAAGATCCTTCAAATATCTAACGCCTGCTTCGAGAACGCACGAAGCAGAGGTTGTACATATGTAGATCGGAATAGTAGGATACAGCAAAACGACGTGCCTTTCTTTAGTTTTCATACCCAAGTGCAAACTCATCTTCGTTTGCTATGGCCAACTTCTATAAAAGTTTGGGGCACACCAGGTGTATATTTTCCGGTGTCGGGTAACAAAGGTTGCTTCTTCCTGAGCAGAGGCTGAATTGCTAATGGCCAGAAACACGCGGCTAAGATAATGAACACTAGGCAATTTGTGCAATCTCATAACAAGCTCTAATCTGATTGATTCTTCCTTACATCTGATCCAGTTTACAATTCCTCACATAATACCTTTATCCACATTTCAGATATTCTTTGTACTTGATTTCCGTATTCGGCTTGCACTAACAATATATGGAGCATATGAACCTATACAAATGGTGATAGTATCTGCTTTAAAAGATGGAACGAGGACAAGTGTAAAGTAAATTGCATTTAATAAAAACATGATCTGAGGCATGGATCCAGAAGTTTACCAGCTTTGAGTGTCTAGTTGGTATCATGTCCTTCCTCGGAGTAGCCAACATCTTCGCTGGTAAGGTAGAATTCTTTAGCTTAACCAACTCTACACACTCCTTGCAGAGAACATTGCTTGAAGACTCCCCTGATGAATGAATGCCAGCGCCACACTGCCTACACTTAATTTGTGTTTGACTAAACGGTCGACTCAATTTCAAGTTGAGCCTTTTCCTGGATCTTTCGGAATCCTCATCTCTTTTCCTCTTTCGCAACTTTTTGATGTCCAAGTCCGGAACTATCGGCTTCCCTCTATGGAAGATTTTCCATCCACGTTTTAGCCCTTTGAGCTTGTGTCCCGTAACATGAGAAGAAGGTTCACCAACATGTGTAGTTGATTTGAACCTAGGCTTGGAATCTGGTGTCTGAATTATACCTTTAGCTGCTCCAGGTAGTTCTTTACAGACAGGACATATCCACTTGCCTGGAGGTGTACGCTGCAAAATTTCATGGAGGTTTCTAGTTGAAAGTACGAACAACATTTAAGGGATAAATGTAGGAGAAGCAAGGCCTCTAACACACTTATGCAAAAGGATAAACATCTAAGATTTGTGGCTAATGATGTCAATTACCTTCAGCGGAGGACTGAGACACTCCAAGTGATAAACTCGTGGACAAAGGTCACAGCACAGCAAGTCTCCTCCCATATCGCAGACCATGCATTCGAAATAATACTGCAAGGTACAGATTGCACACGACAATAATTTCAAACGCTAACATAAATCGTAGACTCCTCGCATAAGTACCCCTTGACTGTAAAATATACGGCAGTATGCTAGAGCTGGATGACTCTGTTAAAATAAGTAATTTAGAGAGATGTGAGACCACATTTTCGGCTACTCGGATCTTCTTTCTTACATCTAATATGTGATATCTTTGAACTCTTTATTCAAGGTAAAGCCTCTTAATGATTTCATTCCAATATCCTTCTGGAAGAATGGCAAACATGCATCTGCTATCGCCTGGAGCTTTGTCTTCCGAACTTACCCCATCGTCACCTGTTTTCTTTCCTCGAGAACTGGACTTCTTAGCTGGATCGCGCGAGTTGAGGCTGCTTGAGTTGCCAGTTGGAGATCCAATTTTCTTCGTAGGTGACTCGAGTGTTTCACCCTTGGGCAATTCGTGATCATTTGTACCAGTCTGTGGCCTTTTCAACATTCGCTTCCGCTTTCTTGTCAATTCAACGCTCTTGTCAATAACCTTAGCATCCTTGGTACCTTCCTTCCCTTTCAAAAGGAATTTTGAAGTAGATTCCTTCACTGGGACTTTGTCCACTCCTTTGAGTTTCAATTTTCTCCGCTTCGGAGCCTGTTCAGTATCCTCACTCGGTGCAGCTATTTCTTCCTTCGCCGTTTCCTTCTCAACACGTGGGGTCATCCGGCTTTTGATATCCTGAGGCTTTGCAATGACACTCGTCGGTTTTACCATTGCGTTGTCAGCGCGATTATTGGCGGCCTCTTGGGCTTCAGTCATAGCTGACTTGAATTCATCTGCTTTGATGCCATCAGGTAAATGCTGCTCAATGGTAACAAAGCAGAAAATTAATCAACCTGGTCCGAACTCGATTCATCTGATTCAGAGAAAACTCAATAAAGACGCAATGCGTGCTCACAATCGATAGGAGAACTTAGTAATAAGCGGGGATAATGTGATACTGAAGATATAAAAACGTCACGGAAAGTTCCAACTTTCCAGATCCAAAAACTTCATATAGTTTTTTGGCAGTATTACCTGCTTACTGTACTCTTCTAAGTGATTGTCGTAAGAACACAAGTCTTCGGACTTCAACCAAGCGCTGCAAATATGGAATAGGAACGATGAATTAGGGACTCCACTAAGAACTACATACATCTTCAACTGACCTACAACTCGCAAATACATCAAATGTGTCATGCAAGAATGATCGGATGATTGTGGTATATAATGCGTAATAAAGTAGAAAAATATACCTACAAGACAAGGTTATAAAAGTTATATTGGTTCGAACATCCTAAGTTACGCAGTGGAATATTCGAATCAAAATGGCTCTCAACCTCTCACATTCAACTGTGTAAGTTGAATGTGAGAGGTTGACAAGCTTACTTAGATACTCTTCCTGATGTTCTACTTAGTCTGCCAAACTTAGTCATGCATGTATGCATAGCAAGCGTTGATAGTAACCAAGGTAACCATCCTCAATACACAATTACTTATTACTAGACATAACATATATATCAACAAACGTTGTTACGCAGATCGCCTCAAGTGCAAAATATCTTCCACACAAAGCATATGAAACATAATGGATGAAAGTACTACATTTCGAACTAATGCAGAACTGATCACATTCGTCTTTGCCCATCGTAGACTAAAAACTACAGACCCGGCGCCGTCACTCTGACCAGTGCTCGTGGTAACAGAGAAAAGAAAAAGTGAGAGGGATGGAGAGAGAGTAAAACAACAAACATGTGATAAATAAGGCTCCAGAAGAGAAACTGTCTCAAGTAACCAGAACATTTAGGTGCAGACCGGGAAACACAATAATGAAGTGAAAAGTATAATTCAGCCAGACTCTAGAGGCTACTCCCAAAGAACCACAAACTTTGGATTGCAGGTTGAGAACATAAAATGAAAGCATCAGACAACGCAGGTTTCAAGGGAAATGCGTTGAAAACAATAGAATATCGAAATGTTACAATATGTCATAATAGGATATACCTGTTAAAATTTTCATTTCATCAAAAGGGAAAGACGAACTTACGTCTGAAATGGCTATTCGAACAGGAGAGACCAAACTGTTTTAACAAAGACAAGTATGAGAATTAACTTACAAGGCTTGGGCGACATCGATTCCATAATATTTTACACATGTCCAACCTTCTTCTTGCCTGTTGACAAAAAAAAGTTTGGCAATCGGATTCTGATCAGCGAGGCGATCTATAAATAAAAAAGACTGCAAAATACCAAGTAAATATTAACTGTCATATTATCTTAAAAGTACGTGAGCAGTTCAGCTGAAAATTACAAGTACTAATCGTCATGTGCACCCCGACTTTGCTAGTACAGTTTCGGCGATTACAGCACATACCTGTACTCTCACAGTGTGCCTGTTATGGCCTGATAACTATAGACCCAAGATAGAAATTCCAACATGAAGCTTGCACAAGGGGTTACTTACTTCTTGAGGTCCTCTGGTATTTCGTCAACACCCACAACCTTAAATACCGGAAATACAAAAGAGAATGTTAGTAAATCTGAGCAACATCCGCTAAGTACTTGCGTGTCGAGCACCAACAACATGTTTGATTGCTTCAGAATCCTACGTGGCAAAAATCCATCTACGTCACTTATTGAGCAAGTACGTTTTGCGAGACAAGATTAAGCAGAAAAAGAATCACTTGAGATGCCTGTTCCCAGCTTAGACTGTAGGTCGAACTTCAGCTTGAAGACCCTAAGAATTGAGTCAAAGCTTCCCCATAAAATCAATGCGATGTTTCTGTACAATGTCTTCCAACATGACTGAATTGATTTTCTATCCAGGCGAAAGAGTAAGTGATAATAGGCTGAGGGAGCTTTGGTTTTTATGAATGACTCACCTTAGCTGGCCACCAGACTCCATTATCCCGCTTTGCCCAAACCAACGTATGGCGGGGAAATGTTGTGCTTACATAGCTGCATCCTACAAGTCTACGTGTCTCAGGCTGTCCTGGCCCCCAGCCGTTCCTAGCTGTGCTCCGCGCACTCCGTTGTTTTTTAGAGCTTGCCAGGACTGGGACTTGTACTTCAACTGGCAACTCGCTACTCATTATCCTGAGAAGAAACTAAGGTTGTTAGAGCCTTCACATAAATTGCACTGAAGGAAGGAATGTGGCCTCCACATGCTTTCAAGTCCGTATAGTTGCAAATAAACGACGAGAGGTCGTTCCCTATCTGCAGAAGGCAAACACTGAAACGAACTTTGCAACACAGCGAAGTGAGGTATTAAAATATAAATGCGAAGTTACGCCTTCCAATTATATGTGAAGAACTCAATATTCTAAACCCTCCACCGCCTTTGACGAGAATTGTGTTCCAATCAGAATATGTCGTTTCGTTCAATCATAACATATATGTGTCGTTGGACCTATGCCATCTGAAGATATGTTGACCTGCGAAGTGGACTTACCCCGGTGTCTGCTTGGGGTAACCTCCAAACAGTGATATGCATCAGTCAGCTGGACTCACTTTCGTCCCAAATACTCTGCAACAAGACAGCAAAAAGTTTCCAAAAATCAAAAAAGTCGTCGGAACTCAGAGAACGCCAGGACTAATTGAACATCATAAATCAATGCTAATTTACGATAGACAATACATTCCTCATGCAAGCATAAAACCAGAACAAGGAATCGGAATGCAGGTGGAACTACAAAGTAAAGAGTCCCTGAATCGAGTTTTGACTTTTTGTCACACGAGAGCTTGGATCTCGAGCGAATACTTCGTGGTATAATAAGAGCAAATCAGAGGCAAATCAGACCACAGTCCGTTTTTTGCATATCGAAGTACTTCAAAGAGCTCACTAACCAGAACAATCTCCAACTTCAAGAAAACATTCCGTGAAAGCTACCATGCACTTCTTTAACATCTGGTGGATAAACAGATTGCACTTAGATAAGACTAACGTAGTGGTCCAGCGCTAATTTCCTGTTGAAACTGAGTGGCCACCTATCCACATTGGAGACGATAGTGATCTTAAGTCATGCATGCGAAGAGCTTCTAATGCCCAAAGACCTCTCAAAGTTCTTTCCAGCGACAAAGTACCTATCTGATACGATATTTCGGAGGTTCAACAGACCGATAAGGATATAAATGCTGGTGGCAGATGAAGCTTTGACAGGACAAGTGAGTTGCAGTATTTAATATGTAGCTGCTTACCGGAAACTACGCGGGAAGCTGTTATTCACGTCAAATTGAATAGCACGGAAACTCGAAATCAGAAATCGTTAGAACTTGTATAGCCTAAGAATGATCCACAAAATGATGAATATGAGGTCGATTACGTAACCATGACAAGACCTTTGAGTTTGTATCAAAATGGTCACCGTGTTTCCGGACCAACTGAAAACCCATCTGACATGATCACGGGATACCAAAACCAATTTTGGTAGAGTCAATCGATAATCTCGATGACGACCGTGAAGGACGACAGACAATGGCCTCACTCGCACGTGAACTGTGCACTTATTAAGGAATGTAACGATAAGGTGGCTTCCATTAGGGGGAGATATTAACACAGAACTCATACGTGCCACATCTTCCCGGGGATTGCCTCGCTGAAGGATGACAAAAACCGACTTCTCACTAAACAACTACGTGTATACGAACACAATTAAGTGATTCTCACGCCTCCAATCCGAAAAAGGTCCTGCTGTACTGTCCGTTTGCTGTTCGTAATATTTCACTCCCGTAGATCATAAACGACTTAGATAAGGTTACGTGCGAAACCAACACAGGCTTCAGCTTTACAAGTTCGATAAGAGCACCTTACCAGCTCTATATGAATTGCGGAGAGCTAGACACAATTTTCACCCTTTCCTGTATTTATAAATTGGTCTGACCAATAAAAGACTTCTCATCATACGGATTTCACTCTATGCTCTTGGGTTGAATCATTCTGTTTAATTTCATCGACTCAGCTGAAAAAAAGCCATAGTTAACACACGTACGTCACGAGAGAACAACGAAACTCAAGTGTTGCAGGTAATGGATCTGGCATTACTAACATAATTGCCATTACGCATGGCATAAATCAACGCCATCTGGAGTTGAAGGGAAAAATAGGGGATGAAGTGGTAAGACAAAGATTAAGACACAAATTGCTTTCCCTGGAAAACATGCGAAAGACGATTGAAGAGCAAAGCCACAAAACAGCATACTGAACTGCTTTATGGAAGCCCAAGTTTAGCGAACAAGTGAGAGTGACTCAGCGATCAGTGAATTGAGTTCATCATCAGCTTCTACGGATCCTTGTGACATGCGTGAACCAAATTTGATCTTCATTGAGTTTCTTATGTGGAAGGGAATTTCTTTTAATTAAATACTCTGTCCTTCCAATTGAAAAAACATCTAAGCTTGACCCGCGGGAAGCACCCCAAAGGATCACTCACTCTTGAAAAACAACCTCAATCGGAACGTAGAGTACATACTGCAAGCAGATGGCCAGAAACAACAAGCCGAAATTGTTTGGGCCGCATCTCAATTGGCTTGAGAGACCTAAAGGCAAGAGTTTAGCATCACACGGGCCTAAGTAATGAACAGAAGGTAGAATTGATCGGTCCATGGGACCGGGCGACATCAAACTCACCACGGCTCCTCATGAGTATCCCTGAAAGCGTGGCTTCCAACGATAGTGGCCCCAATAAGAATACGACTCCGTGAACGACTTCGCCTCCTTGTCCTTCCGAGGGCAGGTTATGAGCAATATGTAACGACGAGGATGTTAAAAGCTTCCTTCGACATGTCGATGTATTTTACCCGCTCCCTGTTCTGCTACCAAGATGATGGGCAACCGATAAGTCCCAAGAAAAGCCACACTGTCAAGACTGCCTGATTTTCCTCCACCCAGTGTACTTCGTCCACCTCGGAAATAGTGCCCGGTGCTACAAACAATGCTAGAGAATTGATCTCCTCGACACTTAAAAGATAAGGTTACCAGTCTTCTGCTCTCCTTCGAACCTGAAATGCTCCACTACCGCCTATCTTCCTGTAATCAAAACTCTGATCCTCATGCCTCCCGTCGGGTAAAGTCCTTATCTGTGCTGCTTTCTTCGCTTCCCTTCCTCAGCTCACAAGCAATCTTGATGACATAGGCACCCTTGCATCACACGCTATCCCCGTCCCCCGTCCTCGAGCGAGCTATGATTCCTCCTTACCTCGTCAAGACGTCACCACCACAAACTCGGGTTCTTACGGAAAAAACAAAAACTTGGAACGAGCTGCTTACCATAAGCGTAAGCGCCCACCTACCATGTCTGGCCTACTCCTTCGTACCCATAAGGAGCCAAGCGGGGAGGGCGGCAACACCCTTCATTCAAACCCAGAGCAAACCTTCGAGCTTCTCCAACAACTAACCCCTATCTTTCTCTCTCGCTGCTGGAAGGGGTCCTTCCACTCCAAAGTGCGCGTCTGCCTACAGCGGCAGTACCGGCAGCGGGCAGGAACAGGTGGTGGTGGTAAGGACATAAGGACATAAGAGTCAGGACCAGGATGAGGGGGCAGAGCGCAGGAATGAAAGAGATAGATGATGCTCATGCGAATAACACTGTGTGCTATGCACGCCAACGAACGAGGTCAAGCAAGAAAGAAGTGGGATGTAAGCAAGAGCCGATGGAGAGCGTGAGCCGAAGTGTACGCTATGAGAAAGAATTGGGGCCTAGCAAGGCAAATGATCGTAAGAAACCTCAAGCGAAGAGCATTGCAGAAGAGCAGGACTGATGTGTGCAGCCGGAGCAGGACAATCACGAGCATAGAACCACCACGTGGGGCGCTGCAGTAGGTCGGGTCTCCAAAGCGCACGATTGCGGCGGTCAGCCACGTGGCTTCCCCTCATTCGTGCTTCTAAAAGCAGCCAGAGAGTCTCGCCTGCGTCCCCGCCCAACATCTAACATCCTCCGACTTCTGGTCTCTCTGCTTCAAACTTCTTCTTCAATCATTCATGCATACATTCATTCAAACGTTCCGGGAGTCGCAATTTCTTCTATCTTCTACTGCGTCTTCATCCGCCCGGCGATTATTTTCCCTTTCTACGAACGGTAATTACATTCCCATGTTGAAGGAATCTGCTTCTTACTCGGTGCCAGAACATTCGTCCTTATAATCGGCAGTTTGGTATCACCAGCCTGATGTCTTTAAGACCGGAGTGAGTGATAACATCATTATCATGTGAAACCGCTCCACTATATACTCTAAGGGTTTTATTGAAGAGTGCTACAGTAGGGTGGATACGACATGTCATTTTGTTGTTGTCGGTTGCGATTTGATCTCATGACGCTCTGGCGGAGGTTTGCTCAGATCAGACGGACCAGGCACACCGAGTATGCGATGGGTGAGAGGAGAAAAGCTAGATTGGATTGGATTCGTTCCGTTCGAACTTTTCTTTGCTTACTCGCTCGCTGGTATAAGATGGAAGGGAGAGGCACGGAGAGGGAAGAAGAGTCAGCTCCCTTTCTGGAGAGAGAGAGAGGATCGTTCTTCACCTCATGATCCGATGATCAGAGGTGGAAGCAACATCACTACTCACTACTCGGTTCATCACTCATCATCATCACCGGACGCAGATCTTCTCTCCATTTGCTTCGCTGCATTCATTTCGTTCACTGTGTACACTGCCCCCTTCCTGAGGCCGTCACTCATCCCCGACCCTAATCTGTTTTCCTCTTTCCGCTTACCGCATTCTTCTCAGTGCGCGAATTCTATGCTCATCCCCATCCCGAGTGCCGTTTATCCGACTATTCCACCCACATATGCTGCTGTTTCGCTGACGACATGAGGACTCATAAGCCATCTCTATGTTTAGTTAGAGAAAAAGTTTGCAGTGTAGATCTCGGTTGGGTGAGTAAATTTAATGGCAATCCCCAGGGGCATAGCATGGCTTGGATGGCACCGCCAGTTCTCGGGCTGGAGATATACAGTGGTGGGAGAAGCAGAGCAGCGAGAGCAGGAGAAGGAGTGGGAGCCGGAGACGCTAAAATCCGGCAGTCAGGGAGTATGTAGAAGTAGGAGGAGTAGCGCAAGGGTAGGGGACGGGAGGGAGAGGTGGGCCTGCAGCTCAGAAGAAGGTACAGTGCCTGGAGAGTGGCGCGGTAATTATGGAGGAAGTCGCACTCACATTTGATATCTTTAAACAGAGTCAAAGCAATTGAGAGCTAGCACGAGCTGGCTCGCTTGGCATGGCTGGCTGCCTCTCACTCTCTGCCTTCTCATGTCAAGCCTGCCTGGGAGAAAGGAAGGGATGCCGAGGCCCGGCGGGCGGGCCATCCCAAGCCTTCTTCTTATTTCAAATGCAGTGAGGACACGTCGGTCCCAGGAGAAAGCTTCGTAAGCGGAGCTGAGTTGAGTTCAATCCAAAAAATGTTTCCCTCGGAGTCTCTTGGACTGTTTCGCTTCTGGGGTTCTCTACTTATCATAGTCAAGAGTCGATGGGTGTCAAGTCACTCTAAAACTGACACATGTGACACAGTTCAGACGTGACCAGACCGGACCGTCCTTTCTCCAAGATTTGTTGTTGCATGCCATCCATGGCATGGCAGCCAAGCAGGAGAGGCAGACAGGAGTCGGTCGGTCAGACAATCCTTGATTTTTGTTGGATGGATGAGTTCGCCTTTCCCGAGTTGCCTGTCCCTGCCGAACAAGCAGCAGCAAAGGAAAAGAGTCGGGCCGCTGAGAGCATAGACGACGACCGACCCTTCGTTACACCTTCGTCGCCCTTCCCAAATCTCATTTCTCGGTTCTTCCCATGATTCCGTTCTTCAAGTGAATCTCGGTCGTATTCACTGCAAGGGAACACGAGCGAGTTCACTTACATTTACCCATCCCTTCGTTACCCTCTGCCTCGCGGTCATCAATACTGTTGAACATGTTAAGCGTATCCCACCCAATATTGGCTGCAGACTGACTCGTACCCGGATTCCTCACTGCGATCCGGACCTAACAGTCCTCCTCCTCTTTCGCATCCTTGGTGATGAGCACCGCAGCCTACAAGATTGCACACGCGTCTTTTGAGTTTTTGGCCTATGTTCATGGGTTATATGCCCGCTTTCACGGTAACGTTGTGCCAACCCAAGTTGTTGCCTTTCCGGCCAAGATACCGTACCAGGTTTATTGAGGCGAGAAAAGGACGGAAGTTGAACGCACCCGAGAATATTGGGTTGAGCTAGCCATAGCTCATAAGCTAATCTTCATAGCGCCGCTTCCCTGCCAAGCTGATAATCCGGATGTGATGCTGGTTGATGAGGAGGGAGGTGATCATAACTATGTCACCTCATGATGATTGCAAGTTTTGTTTGCACACATTCTTGTGAGTGGCGCAACTACTCATAGGCAGCAACTGCCAAGCGCAATCGCAGTGATAAGGATAGCTGACAGGTCTGACCCTGCCATTGTGAAGGTGTAAATGAAAGATCACTAGCCAACCGAGCAATCCAGACTAGCAGAATCTCTTAGCACCCGCCTTGACCTTGAAGGTCAAAAGGATAGGGAAGCATCACGTTAATTTTCGACGCATGTACGTTGATTTTCCTTGAGAGGGAACGCAACGTAGAAGCAGGCAAATGCCCTAATCTGAAACCCCAAAGGGTGAATGCTCTCGTTCCTCACATATTTTGGAGCTATACAAAGGAGTCCTAAGCCCAATAACATTTACTGTGTCTCCACTACGACTGGTGTTTGCCAAGGCAATATATGTTGTTATAACTGTTCTCTTGTCAGAGAGGACTGACATCTCCAGTCAATCGTACACGCTGCAAATAATGTCGTCATGTGAACGGCGTGTTAATATAATGGCATCCGTAACACGCATCGCAAAACACTCTTTCTTTCTTTGGGAATCTAGATACCAAGGCTCGGCCTGGTCAGTTAAGCCGATCCTTACCTCTTTCCATCTCTCGTTCTCGTTCATCTCCTAGAGATCCTTCTCGTTCACGTTCATACTATTTCTTGAGGGCCGTCCCTTCTCATAGCGCATTCGATCGACTCAATTTTCGCATGACGACGGAATTTCGGCTTGATGCCATGGGGCTAGTGGATTGCCAACATGTCAGATGCATCGACAACTTTCAATTCAATGAATCACGTCACTTGGGAGTGCCTTAAGATACTGCGTTATAGCTGGCTTCGTGTTTCGGAATAGGACTGCGGCATGTCTACCTTCGTTTGAATGCTTTCACTGATTTCAAGTATAGTACATCACAGACGTCTGTGTGGATTCCATGTTGAGAATTGCATTCTGCCTTCCTCTGGAGTATACCTTCAAACGTGTGACGCAGATCGTAAATACACCCTTTACCAAGACCATAGGACTTCAAGATCGGTATGTTAACCACATGTAACGTGTTCTGGATATGTCGAAGGTGCATAGCATGATATTCCATTAGTTACGACAATGCTTGGCAAGTGGAGACATGAGATGACACAGGTAACTTGGAGTTGGCTCATGGAAACTGGCAAGAAAGTTCCTGCCGTAGATCCTTATGGACCGGCAGGTCAAGAGTCTCTTCACGTCACCACAAATTCCCTTCCAGTTCAATAATCCGTGTCATTCTGGATGCTCTATTTTACGGTTTTCGGTGGAAGCTGGGAGGTCAAGTCGGGACATTGACATGCCGTAACTTGGAGCATCTGCGGTGGTCACCACAATGTGCCCCTTTAAGATAAAACGACCTTCGACCCGCATCCCCAACGGAACCGATCGGGCTATCTAGAAACATTGGTCCTGGAGCCGTACATCAGTCATCGACCTGCATGAATATAACGTAAGCTTGACTTTAAGAGTCAGGAATCTGGACTGTCCTCCGTGTAGTCTGAAGTCCACCACGTGCCAGCCCTGCTTCCACGCGGTTCACATACCCGAGAGTCGGTGCATTGCATGTTGTCGGCTTACCGTTTGGCTGTATTCTATCTATATTCATGATCGATTTCAGGTCACGGAAAGTACTCCATCGAAGCTCTAACGTAAAATGACTGCCCCCTACTGTCCCCGCTCGACTGCATTTCCAACCTACCTGGCAGTGAACCCTCTCTACTAACAGACTGACAGTGGCACTGATTTCCAAACAGTCCATTACATATACTAAAGAGGCCCATCAGGTTACAACCATAAAAGCTGGAGATTTCATATGAACGACAAGACGAAGTCCACTCCTCAACCATTCCGATTTGCGCATGCATTCAAACTTACCAGATTCACGACAGTCTTCACAGTCTAGAGGAGAGAAAATGCGACTCCCTCCAACATTCTCAGGAAAGTAGGCATGGATGGTAGAAAAGACATTATGCTTTGCAAGATGCCGTTTGTCATAGAATATTTGAGTCGTTAGCAAAACTCAAATCCACTCAGGTCGATGGATTGATGCTGCAATACCCATGTGCATTCCAAGCTTTTCAATCGCTTGTGGCTTTGTAGGGCTCGTTACCGTATATTCAAAGATTCCAGAACTAATCTTGTCAACTTCAGTCATCCGGCAGCTAGTGCTCGTGTGGGAAAAAATTTGACATGTACGTGTAACAGCTGATAAATGCCGTAAAGAGCACCTTGATCGTATCTGCTTGCGATACCCAACATCCGCCTCATTCACTGATGGGCACACAAGGACATTAAGCCAAGCTGCCCTCTAGGTTTCATATACATCATAAACCACTTCCGTCCGACACTTAAAGCACTACCAGATTCATGCCCTCATCAGGACTTTCAATCGGCATCGGATGATCAAATTGGCCGACCACGAATCCTGAACTCGTTTTATGAAGCTGGCTGCACGATCATGGCGTACAATCCAGGTCCAATCTTGCTTATAAGCTTCGATTCACGAGAAAGAGGAATGGGCATTGTGTTCACAATGTACAGTACATCTTTCCCGTTACTAACCAACTCCGTGGAGTTGACTTTCCACACCTGTCAAATTGATGTCCTTCTGCAAATGGAACTCTTCGTCTGTGAACCAGGCTAGACGGAGATTCAAACCCACATAAGAAGAATGTCGTAAAGGTTAAGGTTATCTCTAAAAAAATCTGTCACATAACCACTAATCATCCGCCAAAAATGGATCCGTGTCTCCTAAGTCCACTTCAATGGGCTGTAGAGAGCTGACATCTTCATCTCCTGGAGGGAAAAAAGTTGGAAACGGCAAAGTTGATGGATCCGGTTTCTTGTAAACAGCATCTCTCAGTAGCACGAAATTCCCGTTGTGACCTGGGATCTGGATTCCCACAGCAGAAATAGGTCAAGACACGGCGTCTTCATATCTAAGCTAATGTCTTGAAAGGCATTTTGTTGGCAGGGATGATAGTATATCAAGCAACTACTCAGAACTTCGTTTGGTACCTCAAATATTTCAAGAAATTAATCCTCTTCATTTCAAATACGTACTGAAACAGCATTTTCAAGCCACGGAACTGATACAGTATGTGGCAATACTCACAAACGTAAAGTCGGATGTTCTCTATGTATGCGGACGTCCTAAACAGCAAACTAACGACATAGTGCAGATTTTATCTCTAAAGTCTGTCCTCACTCAGAAATGGAGAGTAAAACGAAACAGCAGAGATAATATGATACAAACAATATGATTCTCTCAAATAATCATCAAAGTATTTCCTTAAACCAAAAACTTGATCTTACCTGTCCCCGCACCCAAATCAGGTTCCTTGCAGGATCTATTCTGTATATCCAGACGTTTTTTATGGTCGTCCTCTTGGCTCCCATTTGCCCAGCCATCTTCTTGCCTTTGAAAACCTGTTGCAATTAACCGGTGGCAGCAAAATTGTAAGGCAAATGAATGTAATGCATTCAGTGTTTCTCACAGTTTAGAAACTCCCAGAACGTCTTGCTTCGGTCAATGAAGTGAAACTGCAGAAATCTGCTACGCAAGAACTTTATTTGAACAACTTTACCTTTCCAGGATCCTGGCGACCACCGGTGGACCCTAAAGCTCGATGCGCAAGGGACGTACCGTGAGATGCCGGCATCCCAGCAAAACCCCATCTTTTCATACCACCCTGTTCAGTGTAGGGGTCGTTTAGTTAAAACATTGCTCATGCACAATCGTTCATCTCAGATCACTTCCCGCACTCATATGGCAGGATGAGATTCGCATCCGCTATACAGATATTGCTTCTCATGAGACATCATCCCGCACTTATTCATAAAAATCGATTAACATCTAGACTAGCCACATATCATATTTACGGAGATTATTTCTCCACTCATATCTTCGTTAATTCATTACTGACCTGAAACCCTTTTCCTGTCGTTATCCCTGCTACGTCAATATACTGGCCTGGTACGAAATGTCGAACATTCAGGATTGTTCCGACCGGTAAAAGAGCATCATCCGATACTGGAAATTCTGCCAGCTTCCGCTTTAAAGGCACTCCACTGGCAATAAAGTGGCCCAATTCTGGTTTGGTCAGTTGCTTCGCTTTTTTCTGCCCAGCTCCGATCTGTATTCCTAGCCCCGAAACAACGAGCAACCCTTGAGCCAATGACAACCATTACAAAGTTTCACTCATCGATGCAGAAAGCCTACACAGTTTCGTTCACGATACAGAACCATTTAAGAAGAAGTAAACTAATCCTCTAAATAGATCTTGGTAACAATAAAAAGGAAATACTTCGAAACATAGAAGTAGCCAATCAAAGAACCACAATGTAAGACAGGTAACGAGAGAACATCAGCTTATCACATCAATTTACAACCTTTTCTGTTCCGTTGTCTTAAGGAAAAACTCCGTCAAGCTTGTTTTGCAAGACCTAGATAGATCGCCATACATTTGATTCATCTAGGCTAACTATAAGGAGACTCTACGGGTTAAATAATTCGCAAGAGACTCTTGAGGTCTCCCTTCTAGTCAACACCATATTAAGAATTCAGCATACCTGCAATGCATTATGCCCCTCTTTTCCTTTCGTTTTCACTTGAACCACCTGGTTATCATCGACCCACAGAACTGTCACGGGCACGCGTGATCCCCACCTATCCCAAACAGCTGTCATACCACATTTCACAGCAACAACACCAGTTCTTCGAGATTCTGGTGACATTAGTTTGGGCTTAGCTTCCAGCGCTAGGCCACTACTGCCAACTGACTGCTCTTGTAACGTTGCAGTGGCAAAGTTGCGACAAACCGGCAGCCCAATTTCGACCGAGGATAGATTTTGACCTGAACAGATGGTGAGAGACCAACGCAAAACTGACGACCCACCAGCCACTCTACTAAATTCCCTCACCAAAGGTGATCTCTGGTGAGAAAAAGCAGCTGCGAATTGTTCCGTACCATGGTGTACAATGGCCTGTCTGCAAGTCTGTCTACCTATATCCCTCAGAGGTCTGATACTGCGCAGGAGTCCTTTTGCTTGGGCAGACATCGTTCCTTCAGCAAGAATCCTCGATCAAATCACCAATTTTGATCACCACACCAATTAAAAAAATAAACAACACTGTGACCTAGTTCAAAACTCGAAAACAAGTGCATCATTCTTTCGACCTACTCTCAGCCATGGGCGGGTGACAAAATCGTTTCAACACTTTAAGTCTACACTGTAAATGATCACAGGATATGCAGGATCTCTTTGACAAGGCACGAAGATTGACTACCACGAACGCATCAGGGGACCCTAGAGCACCATCTGCTGTGGCCACGCAAATGTTAGAGGTTTAGGTCGTACACCTAGACTGGACAAGAATAGTAGTATGAGGCAATTATAGAGTCTGGTTAAACTTTCGTCGATAAGCAACTCGTCTTCTTCGACTGTTCCACGAAGAGCATTCATATATACTACACGTTTAACCTTAACTCTCTCTAACTAGAAACAACAACCTTCAGTTTCTCAAACATTCCGATTTCCCAAAGCTTGCATACACAAAACTTTTCATGCTTGAACCATACAGTGAAGTAAACTTTCGCCAACACCTTATTTTTTTCGTACATATCTCCATGTGCTTATGTTAGACTGGAAAAACTAACGTTTTCATATTTTAATAAAGTTTACACTTTTAATGTAAATGCTATGTGAAATTTACACTTTTGGATACTAAATTCATTAATTCTTTCCACCAAATTTGATATGTACTCACAATCAATAAGACAAATTTTGAATCAATAAAATATATTTGTATACAACTCTACTACATGAAAATATTTACATTTGATATAAAAAATAGTTATTTCCATTCTTTGTGGTTGAACATTTTTAAATAGATAAACATTCTCAAGTCAATTATAATTTTATTTTGATATTAAAAAAAAGTAATCCGGAAATTCCAAACTAATGATAATTCATTATAGTGTAATTATTCTTTTATGTAAATTAAAGTCTTATGTACTTCTAACTAATTTAAGATGATCGAAGACATGATCTTATAATACACCACTTTTGTTGATCTCTATTATTTAGAACAATTACTTGAGTCTCCTCAATGATAATGTAACTCTCTCTTTTTTTTTTCAAATTTTGCTTCATCTCTATTAAGAGTCATTATTATATAGCATAATACATAATGATGAACAATATAAATGAATGAAATTTTTTTTCTTCTGAATATGAACATTTAAAGAAATTTTTTCACTTTTCATTGAAATGTATCTCTAAAAATAATCTCTACTAAGAACAATATTAATAATTACTGTATATCATAAAATTTGAGTAGTTAAAATTTTGATACTTTGTTAGTTATAATAACTTTAAAAGAATGTGATTCCAAGTGAATATTTGTTTCATTTAAGACATATTGAAAATATATGCATCGATTTTACACCTTGGTAAAATATTTTTCAAACAAAACAACACAATATGAATATGAAATGATTTGACTGATTTCATGAAGGATTCATGTATCATTAAAGTCAAATTAAGATATATAAAAAATAAATGTCACAATGATCATTAAATGTATCGGATTACAAATACTTGCATTTGATTTTTCATGAAATGCAAATCATAATTGAATTTTTTTGGAGTAGTAAATTCATGTAGAATTATTAGAGATGGCAAAATAACTAATTAACATACTTACGTAATATCCCGAAAAATATTAATGGAATTCAAAATATGTTTAATCTCAATCATGTTGCACACATATTTTTAAAAATAGATTCAGGATAGAATTGATTGCTCATCATAAAATTGATGTTAGAAATCTTGACATCATCTTGCTGGAATGATTTATTTTTTTATTCTAAATGAAAATTGTATTCATCTTCTGGAAATAAATGTCAAAATTTTAATGAGAAATCAACATTGTTATGTTACTAGTTGATTGTATGAACAACAACTGGTGAATTGAGAACAAGAGGTTATATTTTTGTGGAAATAAATCAAAGTTTTACAGTAAAGAGTTTTCAAGTATTCATATTACATGTGATCAATTATTTGGTTTTGATGTAACTTGCAAAAGGAGTTAACTTGAGTAAAAAGAAAAAGAGACTGTAAATAAACATACGAAATTGATGATTTCATAGTATCAAGAACCGATGAAAAGGTTATATACTTTATAATATGTGTTGAGAATACGATTTAAAGCTTAAGTTGCATTGACATTATATTTTCGACATTGACTTTACAATTATCAATACAAGGAGAGTTCTTAGTGATTTTAGTACATAAAGGTGTTGAGTTCAGATATTTGATCTTGACAGTTTTATAGAAGTTAAAATCAGAACTTAAGAATTACTAAGAATTTCTCTAGCAAGTGATAGTCTATGTAGACTTAGAGATTTACCGTGGGACATCTTTTAACTTTACAAGTCTATCAGGCCATCTTCCTAGGACAATGGCATAGAATGCTTCGAAGGGATAGAATGCCAAAATTATGTCTCATATTTGGACTTAGAAATTTAATGGTCTTGACAACATTTCGTTTCATAACCTCACGAAATTACGTTACTTCACGAAAAAAAGAATTCGGAAACTATCATAGATCCATCTATTTTATAGAATAGATGGGATTAGTGGAAATGTGGAGAGCGATAGAATGTACAACGTTTTTAGCTTCTAGATATTCCATCTAACAATTCCAAATTATTTCAAAGATGAGAGTAAGTATTTGATAACCGCATTATCAAAAAGTTTTCAATAGCTGAACTTATTTAGTGTTTTTCTTTAACTCCAACCCAGGTGTAAGGTTTTAGAATGTAGGGTGAAACCCAAAACCCTATTGATATATCCAACCTAGGTAATGAACTACCCGATCAAGGCAATTTCATGACTCATCCTTGTTGTATTATATAAGGTTTTCACAATAACAATAAAGAATCTTCATACATAATAATGCACACAACCTAAGTCAATATTCAACACAACCTACAATCATAAATGTTACGGACTCGCGGGAAGCCCTACAGATAAACGTCGCGGTATTCAGGCGGTCGTTTTCATAACTCTTCGCTAGAAAATCTTTGTCCAAACAAATGCCAACACTTCGTGGGATGTGAGAATTAATTGATGCTAAGGATATCCGATTCTAATACACGTAGTTCCTACTCATGTGTCCAAAAGCTTGAGCTTCTAAGACATCCTACAGGGAAGTGGTAAAGAGACAGTATCAATATACGAATAAACTGCTGACAAGTTGTTCAACTTGAAGGCCAAATGCGCGAAACTCTCGGAAGGGAGGACGGGACGGATGAAATCTAAATTCTATATCAGGGACAGGTTGTAAGCTACAGTTGAGAGACCAATAAAGCTTTACGACACTCATTCAAGTCTAATAGTCTGGAACACATAAACCTGTAAACACAATCAAGACTACGTACTTATATTCTCTCAGTCCCCATGTCTTCTGCCAAGGCGCTTGATATTGATGAATATAAGATCTACAAATAACAGTTACGGCGTTTTGTACGGTTACAGTACAATAACCACCTTCTAAGTCTGCGGAACAAGTACTCACTCAAGTAACTGAAAGGATCCGTGGTGTATATTTGCTGGCATTGGTTGGTTCTCCCCTGGACTTCCTCTGTGCATTTCAAGCACGCACAATCATCACGTTTACAGCAGACATACAATGTCGGCCGTGTATTTTTGGTGACATTGTTTGGTTATAACTTGGTATTCCAAGTGATAACCAAACTAAAATGTACACAACAGTCCACGTGTACTTTCTGTGAGGATACGAGTTACCATCAAAAAGCACTTTCTGCATCCCGGTCTGATTCAAGAGATGCAAACAGTCGAAAGGCCAAAAATGTTCCGCAGACTAGCAATTTATTATATCAGATCTAAGTGTAACACTACCAGCAAGAAGTATATGAAAGACTGAAGAAAAAATTTAGTAGATAAGTCCTCTACTCACAGTATGCAGCACTGTATGGTGTTGGCTGCTGGTGATACATTTGTGTAGAAGGTTGAAATGGAACGCCTGAACTAATTCAATCAATCTTAAACCCGAAACTCTGAGCCCTAAATTTGTGAACGGAACATGATAGTCTTTATGGTTGTGAAATTGTGTATGATTTACGGCACTTTGACAAGAAGTAAAAATAGGCAAATATATTACACCTGACTTATTACTCATTCTATCCAAGAGAGAAAGCATTCGCCACCAACACGTCACCTGGTCTAGTTCGCCTGTTAGGCACGCACTTGACTCTACAATCCGGCATGCACTTCCCACCGACACGGCGACATCGATCATCCGCATTTAGTATCTCGGGACAGAAAATGACTGGACATTTTATGTCGCTTACAAGATGACATGTCAAGGCTATAAATCATGCTGGCAGTGGCAAAGACTAAGACATGCATACTTTCACAAATTGTGATGCATTTACAACTAGCAATCATTGCTACAATCTCCTGACCCCATCCATTCAATCGGTTCGTTAAATATGACGATGAAGTTTTCATATCTGCCATGAATTTCACACATTCTGCATGAAAGACAAAAACTGTAACCCCTAATGTGGTCAGTCCCTGATTTTTATTGATTTAGCGATTTAAAAATCTACCGTGGGACTGGCTGTCTCCAAAGCCACAAGAGTACATATAATGACATTTCCCTCGACCATAACGGATGGGGGTCAATAAAAATGAACATAGACATTCGAAGTACTTTTGACGGCGGCGGCTGGTCACGCAAAGAAACAGCAAGCTCATGACATTTACCGTGAGATAGGAGTGTGAAGTCTTTGTTCTAAAGAGCGTATGGCAGCTAGAGTCATCACCACTGTGTCATGTTGTAGAATGCTGTAAACATTCAATCCCTGAGAATCAGCAGTCAGTATTAGTAGGCATAATCAGATTCGAAACCTCTTTTCATAAGAGTTTGAACAATTAAGAATGGAATTGAGAAAGTTTTATGATCGGAACGCTTGCATGCATTCGGCAAAATTTCGTTGTACATGTGAGGGCGTTGGTCAGGCCAGCCAAGGAAGTTACATCACCTTGACGGGTAAGACGTTGGCATAGTGGAGATTACTCGTGGCTCGAACCAAAGTTTCATTCATCTTCTCACAGTCATCAACAAACAGCACCCTTTTGGCTTCCTCCATCTCAGAAAGAAACTGCACCATGTCCTTGGTTCGTGATGAAGGAGGTTCCACATTTTCGAAAACCTTGAGCTGCACGCAGAATCAACAAAAGAATAAAGTGAATATTAACCTTTGCAGACAAAACCAAAATAATCCTACCACAGACTACAGACATGAACCACAAAGTTTAGTGAAGGCAATGAGACATTACCTTGCCTTCAGCCATTCGAGCAGATAGTGCAACTTTCAGACCCATTCGTCGAACTTGTTTCTGCAAACCTAATTCATAATCTCGAGGCTTCGGACCGTGCATAGTTGCTCCTCCTCGAAACTGCCGGGATACAAGTATTATCTGAGTATTGAATTTGAGGTGATAAAGCGAGGGATTCGCCGAGACACCTAGTGTATTTACTTTACTTTGAGATGTTGCATGTGATGTATTTTCCACTCTTTAAAGGTCAGGAATTGGTACCTTTCATGACCTTCTAGTGGTCCCAGGACGCAGAGACAACACTACATTTGCTATTCACTAATAAGATACCAAGCAAAAGAAACAACCTTCAAACACTTGTGAGTTGATACTCAGAGCTAATGGTTTGAGTACATACTGAACCCCAAATCGCTCGAAGCTTGATGTCAACAAAATAATCATTCAAAGAGAAAACAAACCTGAGGACCGCGAAGTGTACCATGACGAGCCCTTCCACTTCCTTTCTGTGGCCCAGGCTTCCTCCCTGTGCCACTTACTTCACTAATAGTTTTCGTGGAGTGAGTTCCCTGTCAAACAAGGCACCAAGGTCAAATAAGTCTAGGAGGCTCAATACGGGTCAGTTGCCAGCAGTCAACAATTTCGAAGTCTGACAATCCGAAAAATATGAAAAATCCAAAAAATATACTTTTCTACTTTAAAAAGGTAACCGCAAGGTTCCAGGCGTGAGGGTTGATCACATCATATCCGGTAACGTTTGGTAAATTTCAATCTCCGTGCTTCTCAGTGCTTGTTTCCACTATACCTGACGACGTTTGGCGAGCTGCCAGACTACGACGCGATGCACAATGTCTCGGCGAATAGGAACATCAAATATGTCTCCAACAAGCACAGCATTGCCCTTCTTCTCCCGGGCAAAGTTCGTGACAGAAATTTCTTGATCCTTCAGAGACCCTTGATATGCAGGCGCAAAATTGTCCGTATTTAAAAGCAACTCATACAGTTAGAAATTAAGCGTGAGTAAAAACTGTAACACTTGCGGAAATTCTATGGCTCCTGTAGAAAAAAGCAAATTAACTCTTGAATTACCTTGAGCAACTGTAGCTAGTCCTCTGGAAGCAGATGAACAGATATTGTATTCTGAACTCCTCGTGAACCAGCCAGACTATGGACACAGCCAATCAGCCCAAGTTATCAACTCGGCAACTTTGAGCGAAACAAGAGAAGCCTTCGTGGTTTCTGCAATGCAAGTAAAGATGCGATGTATATACCTTTGCAGGATGAAGACCACCTCTGTACCCTGAAGGTTGACCCGCAACAACTGTACCGAGACAGGTAGGCACAGAAGCAAAGCCCCACAATCTTCTTCTTCCCTGATCAGAGCAGCCGTCATTTAGTTGTTCAAAGATGCTCTTGCATTGCAGCATCTGAGTTAATATATACGCACTCACTTCTTGCACAAAGATCCCAAAATAAAAAGTTGTAATCTCTATGATTCAGATTCATCCAAAAATCCGCATACTCCAAATTGAGATTTCTACTGCAATTTTAACACTCTTTCCAGAATATTCATTGAGTATGTATATAGGCCATACATGACAATTATGAAACGTCTCCTATGACACTAGACTGACCTGGTCCGGCTCTGGGTTGGTCCGTTGCTTCGCGTTCTTCGCTCCCGGCACTAGATAACCACTACCTACTGACTGCTCCTGTACTGCTGCACAGGCAAAGCTGCGACAAAATGGCGACCTAAATTCGACGAAAGATAGATTGCGGCCGGAAAGGATATCTAGATAAGACCGCAGACCTGACGATCCACGAGCCATGTCACTAAATCTCCTCAACAAAAGTGGCGACTGATGAAAACTAGCAGATGCAATTCCTTCCACGTTGTTTGGTCGAATGATCTGCCTACAATACTGCCTGCCAAGATCCCGGAGAGGTTTGCAACTGCGCACGAGTCCCTTGGCCTGAGCAGACATCGTTCCTTCTGATCCCCAAAACACCCACTATCAAACTAATTCAATCATATCACGAATTTTAAAAAATCGACAGAACGATCGCGGCAGATCCAGTGAACTGCGGAGCAGATCAATGAAATTTTCATCAAATTCTCCTACTTGTCGAGAAGCGGGGCCGACGCTGTAAGTTCACTTCAATCATGTCAGCTGTAGTTCACAAAAAACCAATGAACTGCCGACCAACAACAGAGTAACTACGAGGCTCACATCATTCGAACCTAGTCCACTGAGCAACACTCACATGTAAGAAGGTTGAGGTTTAGGGTGTGGGTTTAGAGCGCACAAAAACAGTAACAGAAGATGACATGATTAGATAATGGGGTACGTTACTACTTTTCCGGAAATGTATGCATTATCGACCAACATGTCTCTTTCTTATGGTCTACTTGAAGCATCCCATCCCACACTTGCATGGCAAAAACACTAGGTTTATCAACATGGTCCTAACGTCCTAGAATTTCCATATCCCTTAAAACTATATCTCTATGTCTAGAACTTTCTCATAGTATCATAAATGTGATCTTATGGACGAATCCTCATCAAGATGAACCTTGTACTTTTTTCTGTCAGTTGTCTGTTTTCTTTGTGTTTTTCTGGTGAATTATAATAATAAGTCATCGAGTCATATTCACCTTTTGCAATCATTCAAGCAAATCGACGGAGGGAGAGGGCAAAATAAGTTAAAGCGGAATGTTGAGCAGAAAGATTGCATCTTCTTCTTGATGCATGATTGCTTTACGAATACAACGGCGAATGCATCTTGGGTTATAGATCGCTTTGTGCCTAGTTTCTGAAAAGGTGATACATGTGATCTGTTATCATGATGAAGAGCAACTTGACATATAGCACGGTTACGTGTTCTTGGCTAAGCAACAATAGCAGCTTCGGGATGTTTTGACCTCGCGTGGTGCATGTCTTGTCGTTATTCAATGAGAGGTTAGTTTTGAAATTCTATGTGCCCAAATGGAGGAACAAAATTCTGTATCAACAATTAAAAAAACTATCTAACCACTCTAATATCCACAGCCTATTTGTTGTAAAATATATAAAAAATGATTGTGGTTATTTCAACCATAACTAAATTAAACTTATCAGGACAAAAATTATATTTCTGCCGTCAAGTATAGACGGCAGACCCCTGAACCCTAGACGGCATAATCATATATCTTTTAGATATTATGGATGGACATCATTATCTACTCTTTATTATCAAAGATATATTCCAAACCAAGACAAAATATGATATCATATCAACTTTTATTAGTTTGACTAATATAAAATTATCATTGATAATACTAAGTTTTAGTTTAATTTAGTGATAAGGTGAATATGCATAATTTTCAAAGTCTTCAATGACATTTTGACATCTTTATGTAAGGAAAAAAAACGTCATGTGGACCACCTATATTCTATAATATAATTTTTTAATAAATAATGATACATAAAAAGATAATATTAATTAAATTAAACTAAATAATACTTGCCATAAAATACTATGATAAATTTTTAATTAATCTAAGTATAATGGTAAAGAAGAGATTCTTGTTTATAGAGATTTTTGTGTAAATACATGTTTCATGAATAAATAGCTATTAATTAAAATACCTTGGAGTGTTAATAAGATTTTGTGTCAAATGATGAGTAAATTTAGAAAGTAAAAAATTGTTTAGTTACTAAGATGTAGATGAAACATCAATGTTCTAGATTTATGATAAATTTTCAAAAAAACATAAATGATAAAGTTGAATGTAAATGAGTTTGAAGTCCGCATCACAGACAAATCATATTATCCACTAATAAATGATTTTCACATTTCAAACTTTTATACTCTATCTATTTGTAAAACATGTTTACAAATCTTTGAAAAGAATGAATTTAAGAGTTGGAATGAATTAAGATTTAAATTTTCACTAGATTCTTAGAGTTATGATATACACAAAGTTATAGGCCTGGCTTTATGTAAGTTTTGAAAATGATGCGGAAATTTTCATTGCAATAGAGGATGTGACTTTTGATTTGATGACTCTACATCAACTTCATGTTTTTTTGTGTATATAGCATATGTTGTATTGCTTTACACTTTCATGCAAGTAATTTTGTGAGGTCTCAGAAAGTTTATTATTTTTTATATATGATTCATTATTTTTTTTGTTATATCAACAGTCAACTCTATCTTTGGGTTTGTCTCAAAAGCAATGAACAAAATCAACAATGCAAGCTCTTGTACAAGAATGACAGCAAGAAAAAAACCTATTTTGAATTAACACAAGAAGTCATCTCTTTGAAGTGTTAAAGTTACATGATGAATATGTAATTTTTTTCTAACATTTGGATCCAACTCACCAAACATAAGTTGTGAGATTAACTCATTGTTCGTATGTATGGGTGAAATCATAAGTTTGAAAAAAAACAGAAGGTGCTAATTTCACAATTTGACCCAAAAAAATCACGCAAATGAAAACAAAGAAAACTAAATCATATACTTAATAACTATTTATTTTTAAAAATTGAAGTGAAAATAAAATTACGGATTATGATTTTAAGCAATATATTGAAACCTATATGCTCTTTATGTAACAATAATGAATTGAAAAAATCTTTAAAAACAAGTTGTGAATATTATTGTATTACAGTCACAACTTTGGACTTTGAAACAAATGGATAAAATAAAAAATGAAGAAAAATATAACAAATTGCATAAAATATGATACAATTTTATTCTCAAATAATAGTTATATATTATATTTTATTCAATTTTTTATATATCTGAATAATATGTAAATGAAAAAATATTGTATTGTCACCACTTCATTTCATTTCAAATGAAGTTATGGCATGCAAATATAATGATCAAGCACATGCTGAATGTTACTCAACTTACATACTCAAATCATTTTTATTGATTACATCACATGATAATTGTAGATTATAAACTAGAAGTCAACTTAAATTAACTTGAATAAATTCTAGATTATTTCAAAGTAACTAATTATAATTACACACAATTTTCATTTTAAGATGCAATCTTGTTATTGCACATATGTTTTAACTTCTAAACCATGCAAGTTGCATCAACAAAATCTCCAATCAGATTTGAGATTAAAGTTTATAAAACTAAACTTTTATCACATCAAATGTTTTATTTTGAATTCTTCATAAATCTAAATTTTTTTCTTAAAAATATTTTCTATCTCAAATATTTATACAATCATTTATCAAGATTGATATACACCATCATATTGATGTAATCTTCATCATCGTACATATTTTGCAATTGTAACACGTAAATTATATTATGGTTTTTCATATGTGTTATATGCCAACCTGCTTAGTTTAATTGGGGGCATATATTAGCTTAATTTAGTCGCACAAGAAGACTTTAATTTAGGTTTAACCTAGAGAATGGACAAATGTGAGTATTCTTAAGCACTTATAGTGCATAAAATGAAGCCATATACATTTCATAGTCAACGAAACTTTAGTTCAATTCCTACCTAGCCTTTATTCATGTTTTCAATCACAATGTTTTGAAATCCTTCTATGGTTTTCTCCTCCTGTTCAATATTACAATGTTGTTCTTTGAAACTTATTGTAACCAAGTATGATTTGTGTGATTATCAGCAATCCATCTCTACAAAGTAACTCCAATTTGTCATATGAAGAAACTTTACCTATGACTGAACCGTTGAACTTATCTCCATAAAATACTTATTTGTCTAAATTTGTACATCTCCCTTATTTATCTGAATACGTCGGCTCAGGGTGCATCTAGCACATGTACTTGAATCTTCGCAAAGATTTTTGAGTAACAATTTTGGTTATATGAAAGTTCTTAATGTATAAACTTAATTAGAATCAAGTACTCACCTGCATTTTTTCATAATAATTCCATCGTTATGTTTCATACTCAAGGTAAGTTATTTGCATGCTTAGAAGCTACTAGTTTTGTTACAGGAATACACAGATAAACCACGATTGTCCAAAACATTAGCGTAAAATGATAACGATAGCAATTCCCTAAACTCTACATCAAAAAATATAAATTGACAAGGTGGAGACAATCAACCATCACTATGATCTTCTGCAATGTAGTTCCCAAGATGCTTATTGATTAAACAAGTTTAATGATGTCACAATCTTAACAATTTGCTAATTCAACTCATTTTACGTTATAAGTGCAACTTATAAATTCAAATGGTAGACAACATGATGTTTTGCAAGAGACAGGTAACGCATAGTCAAACTAAAGAAAGTTCTTTTTGTTTTTGAAATCGTTAGTTAATAAGAACTAACTGTAACATCATTATTTAATTGGACACATATGAACAACCATGACGCTGATTCTTTTTACTTTGTTGCTGTTTGACAACTATTTTCATGTTTGACAACATGAAAATAGTTGAGCATTATTTTCAAACTCATTGTCAAACACATGTTATTCATCCACATCCTCGTTTGCATAGCTTTCTTCTTGATATTTGAAATTGAACATCATATCTTCAACAATGATAATCACAGTGTATTGTTCAATTTTATATACATTTTTTGGTCTCTCAAATATGATGACAACAAATGCACTTTGATGGAATTTTTTATTGCAAATGAAACATAATCAAAAAATGATACACAAGCAAAAGATGATTATAGTATACAATACAAAGCCCATTGACTATTATGCTAATTGCAAAAATGATGTTTAATATTATTGGGAAAGTGAACATTGTATGCTTCAACGGTAGACATGACTTTCCATTTAAGTCAAATTTTTTATTCTTGATCAATTATAATGCAAAAATCAATCACTTTTGATACTTTTGGATTATTGTACACAAATTTCAAATCATAATCATCATTGTGAATTTAAATGTATCCAAAGGGTTGTTTTTTAGACATTAAAGAGTATAGTTTGTGTCGTACAACTTTATACTTTCTCCTTGCTCTGCAATCTAACTTATTCATCAAAATTTTTCATATATTTCAAAATGAGTTAGATGGAAATATAGACTATTTTCTGACTTGATGAAGAAGAAGAAAATGTTCCAAGTGCAAAAGAATAAAACAAGACTACTCATGGTTGACCAAACACTTGCGAGAGAAAAACATAGTTCGGTATTTCCAACCTCTGTTACTTTTTAGTGATTTTTAGAACTGTACCAATCAATTAACTTTTATCTCTCTTCAATTACTACAAGTATCAACAAGATAGCCAAGCATTTGGGCAAAAAAATATTCCAAATGTGAAAGAGTATAATCCAATGATGAATAGATGAAGCAAGATAAGTTAAAAGTTTGAGCAAGTCTCCATTCTCAACAATAAGCGATAACTTTGATGTACTACGGAAAGCAACACCGCTTCTATCTTAAAAAATCCAAAGCTTGTTCTATTGCACCTCTCATTAAGGTTTGAGGTAAGTTTGACGTTATAAAACCAAATTTATGCAATTTCCAATCGTGAAAGATTGTCAATGGTATATGATTATCTATAATAATTTTTGAATATGTAACATTATCTCATCATATTCAAATAAAATTTGGAAGTATTTGTCAATTTTTTTTTTACATTTCAATTAAAATTATACTAGGATTGAAAAAAAGATTGTTTTATATTCTTGTGCATAAATATCAGAATTTTGTTTCTAAAAATTATCAATTGAATCCCTTGATTAAGATATTTAACATGAAATATTATTGAATTCTTTAACATGAAATTTATATTACGTGTAATGTTTATATAACGTAAAATTTATAATTACGTATATATGTTGAAAGTAGATTGACAATAGCGGAATCACGTATCAAGATATTCAAAATGTTACGACCACTAAATTGGAAAAATAATAAGATGAAACCTCGGGCTTGCCAAGCAATAAAATCACCTGAAACATTTTGTGCTAATCACAGGCGGGTTTCTGTTACTAACACGCGTATTTCACAAACAACATTGCGCGGGCTTTTGTCAATGTCCACGTGACCCAGAACCTGATTTGGCTCCACATGTCTACAGTCTCTTCTTGTCAACCTGCTTTCTATGCAAGAGTTACTTTCCGCATAGCAATCTGAGCAATGACGACGCCAGACCGGGATTGAGTCGGAAATCGTCTTGTTTAATGCGTCTTATTTTTCACTTCGTTGTCAATTAGACTTTCTTGTGGCCGTCCATCATCCACCCCGGCCGCGTACCCATTTTCTCGGTCGGAGAGAAAGGTTCTCAGTACAGCAGCAATGATCGAATTGAGGCCCGAGTGAACTAGTGGCTTGACAAGTAGCGCTTCTTTGTCTTATTTTGGTTACACAATTTCGGCGGCAGAATTAAAGAGTACGAATGCCTATTGCATGATGCTCTCGAGGGACTCGTGACATCTTCAAGCCCGTAACCTGGCGCTGAAGGACAATGACTGAAAGTTCGCTGTCGTGATTTGAGTTCTTCTAGGGGTGAGACCCTTCGGAAGACACCGTATTAGGGTTACATACGAGAAGCGTTGGTGATATTGTAGACACTATATTCTGAAGACCATAGATATCTGTGCATTGTGCAAGCCCTGTTCTTCCAGCTCATGTCGCATCACCCGCTGATCTTACACTCCCAACGATCGATTGTTGTAATCTGTATCATTGCGGTTTCGCCTTTTTATACCGCCGTTCACCGTCGACAGTTTCACGTGGAACGACAGTGTTACAAGCGAACATCACTTCGATCTTCCGGGTAAGTAAGAGCCTCCTTACTGACAAGCAAGCCCAAGTTATGTTGCTTATAAGTGTTTCTTAGACATAAACTAGGATCTCAATTTAGTGACATTTCAAAACAAGGGCGGCCTACCAGGCGGAACCAGTAGTACAGTGGCCCAATCAGGTTGGCTGGTTTCGTAGTGACAGGAGTTTCGGTCGATGTTTTCGGATTTCTTTGATTTTCTTACTAAAAGTAAAAATCTGGTTCTCTTTAATTTAATGAGAGGTGATGCATTTCCGTCATTGAATAGTTACTCTAAAACTATAGTACTCAGCATGTCTACCACTTACGAGTATTTTCCTTAAACATCAAATAGAATCTCAATGCGTTGACCTCTTAATAACTGATTTTGAAAATTGGATGCTTACCAGGCAGACCGAGGAGTACAGTGGTAGAAGCAGGGTGATTGGTTAGGTTCGTAATAATAGAGTGATCGGTCCATTTACCTCACAGTTGTATATCAGATGTATAACAGTTGAAATTGACAATCGCGAGAATCCAGTTGAACACATGATCATTGAGATTTTGGCAGCAGGACCATCCAGCAGAGATTTACACTCGAGAAAACACTCATGAGTTCGGCTTCCGAGGTTTTAGCTTTCGTCGCCGCAATGGATGCCGCCTTACTTCCATGCCTTCCCGCGAGAGAGCTCCAAGCAGCAGATCGCTCTTCTCATCCATCACTCCATGTCGACGTAGAAAGGCACACGAGGGATTTTATGGAGGCTGCAAATAAACTCCAACTCTTCTTCCTCCGTGTTGGGCATCAATTCCAGCCCAGCAGAGAGCAGGTTTTGAAGGAGGAGATTTTAGGCTTGGAAGCAGAAATTGCTGCAAAGGATGAGCTCGTGGATCGACATCTCAAGCTTGTCCAGAAATCCCAGCAACTACTAGCAACTCACAAAGGAAGTTGCATCTCGGAGCTTCAAAATGTTTAGGGATTGAGTGTACATAGTGAGCTGAAGCAAAATTAAGTGTGAAGATAATGAAAGAGTATACGCCCGCGTAGAACGGTAGGTAGCATCGTGTACTGAATGGCGTCAATTTTTGCTCCGAAAGAAATTTGAAAATCACATACAGAAGAAGAGGTAAATATCTACTCGTGTTCATCATCCTAGTTTGTATAGTAACATTTGGAGCCTTAACTATCATCTCCTACCTGATGTTTTCTGTACTCACAACTAAGTTTCAAAAAGCAGAAATGTATGCCCTGAAGAAATCTCCCTAAACCCTAAGGCCCCCACTTAGCGATGTATTGGGATGGTATAGGGCCTAGTGTAAGGGATTAGTTGAAGTGTAAACAGTTGATTGAGGTCGAAGTGGGTCGAAAAGAAACAGTAAAAATCGAAATAAGTATTTTCGGAGGTTTGTGATGTAACAGGGATTGTGTAATGAGATTGCTATAAACTACCAGAGTTGACGTCTATGCCAAATATGGTTTACATGACACGAGGTTTTACTAAAGATAAATAGTTAGTTCTGTTTCTAATCATCGTAGATCTGGCATAGAATTGTGAAAGTTTATTCTTAGCATATATCCTTTGATAGTTCTCAAACTGTATGCATGACATTTGTAAATCTCTGGTAGTCGTTATCGTCTACAAATGCATTCGATCCAGAACGGTTTCAGTAGAATAGAAAATATCCATGTGTAGTGCATACAATGCTTTCAAATGAAAAGTATTTCAGTAAGAAAGTAATCCAAATTTATATTTGTCGTATGTACCCACTTATTATATCCATACAAGAATATTATATCACTCTAGCTTGTGAAAATAAAGCAAAATCTTTCCACAGAATAAAAAAAAGAATAAATAGAACTTTTCATACATAGGAATGAAGATATGTAAAATTATTTTATAGAAAATGTGAAAACCTAAAGATCATATGATTTTAAACAATTCGAAAGTTATATTTCAATTTGCTCATGTAGAGGATTAAATAGGTGTACCATGCACACATCTACTACATTAACTTGTGTAAATTATTCTTGACACGAACTTTCAAAGTTTTAAATAACATTATCAAAGTTAATGTGATCTAATAAATTTTATTTTGAGTTGAATAAAATAATAGTAGTGATCATAACATTATTTTTTCATAAGCATCCTTACGTTTGAAATTTTTTTTATAAACATGTAAAATGTTTAGATTTTTGTCTTTAAAACATATTGACATGTTGGATACATGTATAAAAACAGATTGGTAGTTAAAAAATTATTCTTTAATAACCATAAGATAAAACGGAAATAAATAAAGAAACAAAGCTAAATGAAAATAAATATAGAAACAAAGCTAGATACATATATAACCGTACATGCATGTAAAACACAATTTCAATAGGTCATAAAAGAAATCACTACGTGACCTGTACTTTCAATTGGAGTCTACGGACTCCATAGAGTCGGTTCCATAAGGCTTTGGTCCTCGTTTTGCCTACCCCGCTCCACTTCCAGTATTCCGTGTGTACTGGTCACAAGGTGTTCTAATCTAAATAACCGCGGTCGCACCCGAGCCTTCTTGTTTTGGTTCAGTCTACCCTAAGACACGACGAACAATTTTCTACATATAATGTCATCACTCTTTCTCTCTTGGCCGCTGAGCAAAATCATGTCCCTTATTACGGACCACCCCGTTGTCTACCCGGTTCCGACACCCGCTGGAACAAATTTCATTAGTTTTGAGCTTATGAAATTCAAAATATCTATCAATAAAGTATAAGTTATTATTGAAAATCCAAGATGATAGATTTCATGGGTATTATAATCAAATTATTTTCATTAATAATAACATCATCAATCTTTTATTTCATTAAAACTCAAAGGAAAACTTATCCTTATTTATCTTATTTAACTTGAATTTTGAATTAAAAAATCTGTATTGTGACCTATTTTATATTTTCTTCTAACCAAAAATGTACTATGATGTTTTTTATTTGTAACGAAATATTTTTTTAATCCGTTAAAGTATTAATACCATGAAAACAGTTTCAATATAAGAAATTAATACCTGTATCTGATATCAATGATTAATAAATTAATAAATTTATAAAATTATAATTTTTTTAAAGTTTTATATATTTCATTCATATGTTAGATAAATACTTATCTAAATCTTCAAAGCAATAGTTAAAATCAAGTGATTAGTTCTTTTCTATATTTAATTATAAATGGAATTTTTATTACAGGAAATAAAATCGAGTGATTTTTTTTTGGAAAAAAAAGATTCAATGAAAAAACTGAAGAATTTCTTTATATTTTTAAACTTACATCAAATTATAAATAATGGATTTTTTTTCAAGTTATGTACATAACTATAAACTTAGATATTTACTTTGTGCTAAATAATATTTGATTTGTGTTCAAATTCATATGCACAAGATTATTCAACAACAAAATGAAACTTAAACCATTGAAAAGAAATAAATTTTTTATCATCAAAATTAAAAATTAAAATTGAGATTAAATAATACTAAAAATATTTTTAAAAAAATTTGTGCAGAATTTAACAACTTATAAAAAAAATTTAAATAATTCTCAAGATATGAAAATAATTCATGAAAATATTTTTGCGACTTATGCATACAATCTCAAACTTTTCTAATTCATACACTTACTATATGAACAATGTTAAAAAGTTATCAATAAACATTGGTGGAGTTTTTTTGATTTTGAACACATAGAGTGTGTTTTGAGAGAAATTTTTTGAAAATTTTTAAACTTATGAAAAAGGAATGAAAATTTTAGTTAATATGTTAGATTTTTCAAACTATTTGAAGTATTGAATATCATCATTTCAATGCATCTAAATGAAAAAAACCTGGAAGTAAAATTTGAAGAGAAAGTAATATATCACTCTCAAAGAGTGAAACATGCTTTTGCTAAAAAAATTAAGAACATAAGATTGTTAATTGTTTCCTAAGCAATAAATATAAGATGTTGAAAAAACCAAAAATAATTTGGGGAATCAAAATTTCAGTATGATCATTTTCTCCACATGATTTTAACGCACATAATATTGTAACAACTGTGGAGTAATTGCAGTATTGGTGGAACACTAATGCGACGATGTCAAAGCTTTTAAAATCATTTGTGGAAGCTTTGTTAGTAATTGATACTTTGATAACGATACTAAATAGTATAAGAAGATTCAAAAGTTCATCTTCACAAGAACATTTCTTCAAGGTAAGCATTCAACATAGAAGAATGCATTGGTTTAAATATGTGACTTCAAATAATGGAAATTGTCAATGCATACATCAATTTGAACTTTGACTTGTACTTACATACTCCTGCTGATTGTTTGAGTAAAGTCTTGTCAATTTTAGCCGATTCTCACCCTTGTATAATTCATTGTAGGAATTCAAACCAAATAAAATTCCAAATCTTCTCTAACAACAATCCATCCTTATTTTGCAATTTAAAAACTAAGAATTAATCTCATCTTATGACAAAAGCCTTCATCACTATCGCCTTCTCACACAAGATAAATCATATTGAACACAACAGATTTGTATTTAAAAATCAAAATTACAAACATTTATGAGATTTCTTGAACAATAATAAGACAAAAATAGGCCAAAAACATTTGTTGAATTTTTACCATGAAGTCTAAAATTAAACTTGTTTTCCAAATTCTGTACAATCTAACACAATCCACTCATACAACATAGTATTTTTTATCATCATTGCAACTTTTAAAGAGTGTTGCATTCTTGCTCTAGTCTAAGAAGGAAACGATGCACCAAAGAAACAATGAAGCTCTTATACTGTTTGTCATAAAATGCACAAATAAACACAAAAAACATTGAAAAACAGACACAATTAGACTCAATGCCGAAAAATAACGTGATTTGCTCATGACTTTGTCCACGCGAGCATTATAGATACTAACACAAGCTAGATCTTGCCGTTTTTTGTGATCTGAATAGATCAATATCTTAAAACCTAAATCGGATAATTGAAATACCAGCAGACTAGAATTATTACCAACAGTGCATGCGTATTTTTTCCAACATTGAGTAAGATTTATCATAATTGCATTTTTTGACGGTTTAAATAAAATTGAGATAATAAATGATTACATTTCCTAGTTTATAAAATTTTCATATATATATTTCTTGTCATTATATGTTCATAAATATACTAGTTTTTATTGAATGTGAGTTTTAATTTATGCTTTCACACTCTTAAAAGTGGTAAAGATTTCAAATTTTGTGCAAAAAAAGTCTACATAAATTTTAAGATATATTAAGAAAACATTTTATAATTTTCTTGAAAGTGAAGTTTTTGGAAAAAGTATTTAAATGTGATTATGTACATACCCATGTTACTTAAATTACTTTAATGATTGTTTCATTGGCATTCTTTTATGATGCTTGCCTATAACACAATCTTCATAATTTCTAAATTAATCTCCTCTATAACAAATAACAAGCAGTTATTGCTCAAGGCGATAACTGCTTAGGGTTCATATTGCTGAGGTATCATACTCTAGGTGACATATAGTAGAGCTTTCAACTCAAAATTTAGTAAAGTTGACTTCAACACAAATGCTAATGCTATAAATCATATATTAATTTTTATAATTGTATCTTTTTGACTTAATCTTGATATAATCTAAAATTTTCATTATGATTCATAAAAAATAACTTTTGTTACTAAAAATATACAATAAAATTTTCATGTAGCAATTGTGATAAGAAAAAATGAAAATTTTCAAAATGGAAATAATTTATTTGATTTGATGAATGTTCAATGATATAATCCTAGCATCAAAGTTCATATTTTTACAATTCATACTTTAGTAGCAAACTATCTAATAATATGAGTAAAAAAGCATCTCTTGCTTTGATTTTCACAAAAAGTACACTTTAACATGATTAATTTTGCCATGTTTTCTTTGAAAACATGTAATAAGAAATTTATTATAAATATTAAAGCTAAGACTTTAATATGTCTTTAAATTCTCAAAATTTTTGCCAGTTTTAAAATTTTGTGCATATGATTGACCTCAAGTTACATTTTGTGCCATTTTTTATAAAAATTGCAAATAATGATAACAATAACATGATTATTTGCAATATATCATAAACTAAAATAAATATTATTAATTTTTATGTAAATGATTATTTTTGTATGTTTCTTGAAGCTGTTTACATGACAATGACGGATAGAATACAAGTAATGTATTCAAAACTGATTTTATTTATCACCTCATTAACTTTTGTCTGAAATTTTTAAGATCAATGATCAAATGAAGAAATAAAATTATGAATATGATCTTGGATTTTTGTGCGAAAATATTTATTTTGAAACTTATTAGCTTAAAAAAATAAATAATTTTTTTGGATATTTTTTTGCAATTGGAATTTTTGATGTCAAAATTATTCCAATTATTTTTTTTGAGTTGAGAGATTAAGG